TGGCAATTTAAACGAAAAACACAAGCGACGGCAGATTTAAAATATATGGAAAGTCCGAGTCGGCCGATATCGTCTCCGAAATCTGGACTAAACGAAACGAAAATAAAATCTTACAGGTAGCTAAATTTTAATTAAAATCTTACTTGGTGTAATGTCGGAGTCCAAAAGTCTTCTTAAAACCACGTTCGGGTAGCAAAGAACATTGAAAAAAGGCAAAAAAAACACAGCAGAAACCAGAGCAAAGCGCACACGTCCGTTCCGCAAGCGAAAAACGTCCAAAGTGACGCAAAATCGTGATGCAACAATACGCGTTTCCATAGAAACGGAGATTAGAAAGCGCATAACGAATTCGAATGCGATTGACGTCATAGATTCTTTTTGAATTTTAAGGCTAAATACAGTAGACCCCCTATAACGCTTAGATACGTTCCACGCTAATCGAATTTTACGTTGTAGGAACGATTAAATACATGAGCCAATCGCAGCCCGATAGGTGGGAACTTTACGGACTAAGGCTGTTCGAAAGGTTTTCTTCTATAAAATTAACCGATTCTAGACTAATTCCACTCAACATTTCCAAAATACGTATAATTTTTTGGGAATAATCTGTATAAACTATGCTATACACAAAAAATTATAGGATTACTTACCGAGTGTGTACCGTTCGACTACGCCGTTGCTTAAAGCTGGTTTTCATCGCGGAACAGCACATTAAACGGCGGCCGCGATTTCTAATAACGAATTTTTCGCATAAAAATAACTTGACCTTTGGAGACATCATTAATATAAATAATTTTTATGGACGTTGAATAAGAAGTGTTTCTTTCACAAGAAATGTATAAAATTAGTGCTGTATTAGACTTACGGTACCTAATTTACATACTGTACAGACGATAATAAACTCAACTTACTAGCCTAAAATCTCCGTAGCGTGTTGCCAGGCGGCAGAAAGCATATATATAATTATAATAAAGTTACAATAAATTAAGTTAATATATAATTATATATACAGTACCTAATTTATATATAATTAATATATAATTATATGTACAGTACCTAATTTATATATAATTTATATATAATACTAAACAGACGATAGCAAACTCAATTTAGCCGCTCCGTAGCGTGGCGCAGGGTCGGAGGAAAGTAGTTCGGCTGCTCATCCACTATTGGTCCAGACTCTATCAATCTTGTCGCGAAACGACGTTATAGGAGGTACGTTATACGAAAGTTGCTACAATTTTTTCGCTACGTTATAGGAATTGTCGTTATAGGAACGTACGTTATAGGGGGGTCGACTGTACTGTGCAGACGATAATAAACTCAACTTACTAGCCTAAAATCTCCGTAGCGTGTTGCCAGGCGGCAGAAAGCATATATATAATTATAATAAAGTTACAATAAATTAAGTTAATATATAATTATATATACAGTACCTAATTTATATATAATTAATATATAATTATATGTACAGTACCTAATTTATATATAATTTATATATAATACTAAACAGACGATAGCAAACTCAATTTAGCCGCTCCGTAGGGTGGCGCAGGGTCGGAGGTAAGTAGTTCGGCTGCTCATCCACTATTGGTCCAGACTCTATCAATCTTGTCGCGAAACGACGTTATAGGAGGTACTTTATACGAAAGTTGCTACAATTTTTTCGCTACGTTATAGGAATTGTCGTTATAGGAACGTACGTTATAGGGGGGTCGACTGTATATGCATTTTTTTTACGTTTCTATCCCCCGAGTGAGGACGGATTGAGATCGACAGATTCCCTACCACCTCCACATGGGATTAGAAGCGAGATTTTCTATAATCCAACGTCATCTTTACCACGCCACCCCCAAAACTAGAAAAAATCCTTCCTCTCGTTCGTCGAGTATTTTCCAACGAATTTTCCGATTGACTGACAGCGCAATTTTTACTAAATTTCGTAAAATTTCGTTAATCTGACGCCATTTTAAAAGCGGTTACCTGAGTTACGTAAACGTTAATATAAAGTGATTTATATATAAAATAAGCGAGTTTTGTGAATTTACCTACACCAAAGAAAATATCGTGTATGTAATTTACACCAAGGAATCAAATAATATAGTTGTTCCTATACTGAAATGGAGAAAAGTGCTGGAAACCAACGATTTGATTTTCTTTTTATAATCAAAAAAATTCGGCAACGAGTTGCGTAACTTTCCCGGCTGTTGTGAGATTTTATTCAGAAAATAACTTTTATATTTTTAAATGCAATGTAATAAACAGAATTGTGTGTGGCGCCATCTGTTATGCGATTTTGTTATAAAAACTTTTTATATTTTTAATTATTGTAGAATGGCCAAAAGCTTAATTTTCAGGGTGGTGGTCTTCGTTAAGTCTGGCCTCACTCGAGATATGACACATGACCTTCCCTCTATCTCCTTTCCCTTTCATAGTCCTACATTTTATTTTTATATGTAGTCAAGAAGAAGAACTATTTTTTGATTAAATAATAAATAAATAAAATAAAAGACTATGTACAGTTGAACTTGTCTATCCGAAATCTTGCGAGAAAGGAAAGTAAATCTGAGATAAACAGGTTTCGAGATATAGAGATTTATACGTTTGCATTTACACGGAATATACGAGAAATTGAAGATTATAAAGCTACGAAAGAGCGGAGGACGCGAGGGAAAATAGGTCCGAATTAAAATTACTGACAAGAGATAGCATGGAAAAACTTTATATTGTGTAACAAGAAGCTGTAGACAGCTTCGACTTAACGCAGTTCGTCTTAGCCAGGTTTTACTGTACATAAAAACTACATTAAAAGGAAGCAGGTGACTACTTCAACATACATACAACAACGTAATGAACCTATTTATTATAACATTTAAACTGATGTATGGCTATTCCCAATCAAATTTTATAAGTAATTTGATAAATTAATCTCGAAAAATCTCACGTTTGAAATCTTAAACTATAAATATATTTCGATTTAATATTTTATCGCCAATAATTCCATTTTGATTTGCTGTAAATCATAAATATCAATTTATTTACTTACTGAAGTTCATTTATAATGAAAATTCTTTCGGGAAATCTCGTAAACAGCAAGAAAAAATGAGAAAATTTCCATTTGAAGATGGCGACCAACAATAGAAAATTCGAACAATTAGTTCGTTTCGAACGTTCGACATTCGAATAAACACGTCACGCGTTACGTCAAAAGATTAATCGATTTAAAATATTTCACTTCAAAAGTTAAATTAATCATGTTTTTATCAATAAGTTTACAAAGGTCTATTTTTTTGGTTTCTGAAGACCAAGGTGATGTGAACAGTTGTGAAAACTTGTTTCTTTGGATTATCAAAAGAGTAATATGTTTTAGATACGCATTGCATGTGGAACAAGATTGTCTAGAGAAACTTGTTTCAGTTTATAGGGGAATTCTAATAGCTTTAGATGGTTCTCACGACGGAAGGTTGGCAACTTGTCTAAGAAATGTAGTAAACAAAAATGGCTACTTACAATAGAGAAAGCATTTCGTGTTCTGAAGTCCTCAAATTCGGAATTAGTCATTACGTGCAACATGAATTTCGCGGACAATTTCAAAGTTATTCATCACGTGATTCTTGTTACGTAATGATGACTGATCTCGAGTTTGCATAATGCAGAACACAACGCCTTGTCTGTTGCGGAGTCGCCATTTTTATATTCCCGGTTGTTATGTATAACAGAGGGAAAGTATGGCAATCTGGCAAAAAATTATACCCAGATTTTTATATTTTTGAACTCAGGACACCTTGAAACGTCGAGAAATGCAAAGAAATTCGGGGGTAATTTGTGTGTGTGTGGAGGACACGATTTTGTTCATTCTGTTTGAAGCTTTTAACTCATGTAGCTTTCTGTCTAAAATTTCTGAAATTTTGCAGGGAGGTTTGGTTTGTTTATTAGGGATTTATACTATGAAATTTTGGTGATGAAAGATCCAGGGGTGGGGAGAGTCACATGTCATATCTCGAGTGGGGTCGGACTTAATGATGTTTTCACTCGTTATTAGCATTTACAATTTCGTTTATAAAACCCATCCCTACTCTCAAAATTAAGTTTTTTTTTGCAATTTTATAATAATTAAAAATATAAAAGTTTTTAATGATAAAATATCGTAACAGGTGACGTTACACACTCAGTTTGAAATGTTGCGGGGAAAGTTAAGTAACTCGTTGCTAGATTTTTTTATTTATAATTTATGATGTTTAATTTCATTAAGAAATTGTTGAAAATATCGCAATTTTTATGATACAAAATTTATAAATTAGATTATATTTATTAATACAATATAAATTATTTATTATATTTATAATAAGTTTTTCAATTTTAATATTTATAATACATAAGGAATACAAAAAATTAATATATATATATATATGTTCTGTACATAGTACAGTACATGCCAGCTGGATCGTTGAGGCTGTTAACGTATCAACCATCAGCTTTGAGGACCCGGGATTGAATCCGGGTGTCGAAAACCCCCAGGAATTTTTCGGAGGTGGTTTTTCTCGGATATATTGGGAACTATTCCTCAAAACTCATCCGTCTTCATCGTGGGCCAGGTCAAACCTATGAAGGTCCTGACAACAGACCTTTCTAGCACCATATTCAATACACTCACTACGAATTGACTTCGGTATGCTCTATGCAATATTATTCAACTATAAAAGTGTTTAACTTAAATTTAGTTGTTCCAAATTGCTGTGGCACCCTCGAGGCATTGAAAACATTATTCTATACAACGTAATGCCATTAACATTGGCGAATAGAATCGAAACAGAGTTACTTTTTTTTATTCTATGAGAATATAATTAATGGGTAATAAGTAAGCATTCATAACAAATTCATTTCTGTCAAAATTGCAACTCACGACTCTTTGTTTCGGCGCATTTAACGAAATTTCATATTATTAACACGTTGTAAATTTCACTATACTGTATTTAAATTACTGTAGAATAGATACCGTTTTAAACATTCATGTTATTTAAAATCCACGGAATAAACGATGAAACTTTCGTATATAATCCAGGCAAAAGTGGTTTTCCACAACCAATTCCTGCAGATATTATTCCAATTATTGCAAATTTACCTCCATTACTTATCACGAGTGGACCACCCGAATCACCCTGTTTGAAAATAACTCAATTAAATGTTACAGTTCATAACTTTTATATTCAATTTTTAAAATTTGTTTAATAATTCTCATACCAAACAAGAATCTACTCCGCCATTTTTATATCCAGCACAAAATTGTTGTTGTTGAATGTTTAAAGTCTTCCCAGCTTTATTATACCATTCTTTGCAAACACTGTTCTTCAATACGGAAACTGTACCTTTTCGTAATGTTTCTCCACGTTGTACTCCTATTAAAAATTTTAAAAAAATATACAAAACTAACGTATGAAAATAATATTTTTAAGAAATTAAAAATTAAATTCACCTTGTTTAGCATCTTTAAGCAATCCCCATCCTAAAATAATGGCCTTCCTTCCCGTGTAATCATCCATCATTGGTAAACAAATTGGAATTGCATATTTATCAAAGGTGATATTTTTCGATAGTTTTAAAAGTGCAATATCATTATTATAAAAATTTGGCGTCATGAAATTTTCATGAATAATAACTTGTTTCACTAAGATATCAAAGGAAGGGTGAGATTCCTTTTTTCGTAATTTATATTCGCCGATTCTTGCAAATATTGCAGTATTTAGAGAACTGGAAATAAATTGGTAAGATGATTATATTCAAAAAGAAATAAATTAAACGTAAAAACTACGTAATCCTTACGTTCCGACGCAATGAGCCGCTGTTAAAACCCATTGAGAATGGATAATGGCACCTCCACAGAAATGCTCGCCCGTTTTTCTAAGAGAAACCTAAAAAATACAATTTAATCAAACTCCAAATGGATTTTAAATAATCATCTCTTGAATATTTTACGATAAAATATAATTCTTTTCAATTTACCATCCAGGGGTGTTCACCATCATAAGTATCTTGACCACCAATGATTCGGCTACTTCTAATTATCTGCCTTCCACAAGTAACTTGCAATGCTAAAAAATTATGTCTATTTATAATTTTCTAATAATAACCTAATTATGCATAACAAATATTAACTTTCTAATCATTGGGGGCATGACCAATTTAAAAAAAATCACTAGGAAAAAAAAAGAAAATCATATTGTGGCTCACCTGCACTTGTCGTAATAGTAATTATTGCAACATATATTTGGAAAAGTATATGTTCCATCACGAAACCTAAATATACAAATTTGACTACTCTTTATATATAAACAAGCAATAAATAAAAGAGGACAAAAATCTCTCTTCCTGTTATTTGGGTCAGCCATTTGGGTAGCGTTCGTTTACCTCGTCACAGTACAGTTGAACGACAAGAATTTGATTGAATGTGTCAATGAAACAAGTCTATTTGACAAATAATCCCAAGCGATCTCTTTGTAAAGTTGAAACGTTTTAATAAAGATATATATATCAGGGGTCAATTATTTAGAACAGAATATTGCCTCCGCGTCACAGTAGAAAATGTGTTATGGAGATTTTTAAAATTAAAGAAAATTCATACCAACTTTCATCTTAACCACTCAGATAGTAGTTCTATTCCACGTAGAACCATAGAATAGAACTTCTATTCTACATTGGTTCTAAGAAATAGATAGATAAAGATCTTTTTGTATGAAATCCATACCCAAGTATTTAATAAAGGAGAGAATTAATCAGAAAAAAAGCAAGATTCTTCAATGGAATTAGTTCTTTTTCAAACTTTGTTTTACTTTAAGTGAAAGAATTAATGAAAAATCAAACAAGTTTGTAAAAGAACAATAATTTCCATTGAAAAATCTTGAATTACACGATGATCTGTAATTTAAATTTTGAAGTAAATTAAGGATTTTAAATGACTGATCTTACATTAAATGCGTCCATAAGTATAAAGTAATGGATTCATTATAATACATACGAAATTTTTCAGTATAAATTTTTACTCGGTATTTTTTTTTAATTTTAATATCTTAATAATATTAATTAATTCTTCTTCTTGTTATTAATTTAATAATTTGCAATTTTGTCAGAATTAATTAATTTTAATGAAATTTATGATTTTACAATACATTATTAATAAGTTTAATAATTTAAAAAAATATCCTTTCACTAATGCATTACTTCCGTTTTCGTATAGAAATTTGCATTACAGTTCAATGGCATTTAAAATCCTATTTTCACACAACAAAATTTATATATTATTTAATAATCTCTTCCCCCGCAGAATAGGAAAATTTATATAAATGACGATCAATAATTTAAGTGTTAATTTTTCTATAAAAGAAAATTAAATACAATCAATGACCTTTATAATACTTTCCAATAAATGTGTGTTAGTTGTATTTTGCTTACTCAATGATGTAACGTTACACCCTTCATTATTATTTATAACATTTCAGCGGAAATGGCAACAGGTTTCAAGTAAATTTTTAATGAGACGTTATGCTCTAAATTCACTTATTTTCAATTAAATGAATCTGTTATACAGTAAAAACCTGTCTAAAACGGAACCCGAATAAAATAGAAATCTGCTTAAATTCCGAAGAATTTAAGCAGAATTTCTGTTTTTTTTTTTTTTTTTAAAAACACCTGTTCAAGACGGAAACCTGCCAAAATGAAAATCACGGACCTTTGGAGCTCTTGGAGGATTAAGAATGGAATCCGTACTGGTCGAATAACCTAGGAACTTTTCAGGATGATCCTCCTGGATATATTGGGCCCGTCCTTCACCACCCGACTGTCCCATTGTGAACCTGGCCGAACCCATAATGGACTTGCTAAAAAAGCCCATTATGGTTAGCGTTCACAGGGCTGAAAGAATTAATTAAATGTCAATTCCGGATTATAAGTTACTTTTCAGAGGGTGCCATCTTTACTTAGAAAATATTCTTCTTGGTCAATATTTTTATAAATAATCTATTTTTCTTAAATATAAGGCTTATATCAAAAGCATCGATACATTGAATTGGATTGATAGGATACGATAACGCAATATAATATGAGAGATATGCCAAGAGGGAACACCTCCCGGGTGGACTTTCTGTCGACTTTTTGCCCTATGAGCACTAAAAGAGCCTTCTGTAATATTGCAATATTCAGATTAACATTGAGGAATATCGAAATTGAAGAAAAACATATCCGAGATAGATCACTTATGAAACATTCCTGAAGTTCTTCGTAAGGATTCGAACCCGGGTACTAAAGTGCTGCAGGTTGATGAAGTATTTCGACTAGCTATTTAATTATTGAGATAGAAGAGATGTAGTTACAGAAGGGTGATATGTGTATACAATCTATATATAACATTCCAGAGTGAATAAAATTCTTAATATTTTATTAATTCTAGGGTGATATGTTATGTGTTATTTCTGGTTTGGTTTATCTGAGTTTGTTCTATTTGTATACGGCAACGATCTGCCGAAGGACGGATTCCTCCCGAAAGGTCTTTCCATGAGAAACTGGTCCATTAGCTAGACACGAACCCGCGACCACCGTTCAGTGGCTTTATCCACTCGGTCCAGTTTATCTGAGAATAATTTAAAAGTCACGTATTATTACCACATGTCTTTTTTTTTTATCTTTAAAACTTATAATTAAAAAAATTAAACTTTTGACTATAGTTGGAGCCATAACTAGGAGATTCTTCAGGAACAGAACCATAGCCAGAGCACTGATCAAGAGCTTTGCTCTTGTTCAGTTGTAATAAAGCATTAAACTTGGTAGGTATATTTTTGAGCCAGCTTTTATTTTAAATAGTGAAAAACATAATTTTAAAATGTTATAGACAATAGCACGAAAATTACAATAATTTAATTTCGTTTTTGTCCAAAAACACTCAAGATTCCATTCGGAAATATAATCTTATCACCTTCTTCTCGAACACCATTCTTAAAGAAAAGAGTTTCCATTTGATTCCATAATTCCTTTTTAGTTTCTGGTGGAATCTCTTTGAAAAATTGTTCTGGAATCACTATCTCCATAAATTCTGTACAAATATTTAAAATGTACAAATTATATTTCGATCCAACAGAGGGGAAAAAACCTTAAAAATGATATTTTTCTTACTCATGAAATGATCTCTGCTTGGAAAAGGTACATCAAATTCTTCGTAAACACATTTTATGGCATTCAAATCGTATTTGGAAATAAGTTTTGTTAATTCATATTCCACATCCTCCCAATCGTGAGTTGGTGGAATGGATTCGAGAATCTCTTCGGACTAAAAGTTAAAATTAAAATACATGTATTTAATGTGAAATTATTCATTTTATTTAAAAAGAATTATTTACCTTTAAGTATGGTCTTAAATGGCTCGCCTCTGCTAATACTTTTCTAGTGGATATCTGTGGACCTTTTGCAATTGTCAAGAATGTAAAATATCCTCCTGGTTTTAAAAGTGATGAAATATTGGAGAATAATTTATCGTAATCTTTGAAGTAGTGAAAGGCATATGATGAAAATATTTTATCGTATTTCTTTTCGTCCTGTACATCAATTCTGAAAAATATATATATAAAATTAACATAAATTTTTTATGTATTGAATGTATACAATTGTTTTGATAAAATTAAATCTATAATTTATTTCAAGCAGAATCACACATTATGGGCATAACGTGTGATTCTGCCTTACCCACCGTAATGGGCGTAATTGTAACCGCTATATAACCTTAACATATTGGTGCCTCTTGTTTATAAATAAATAAATAAATCACTAAGATTATCCTCACCTTTCCATAATATTTTGATTTTTGTATTCAATTTTATCATGGGGATATTTAATTTTGGCGAAATCTATAGCTTTAGCAACTGCATCGGTAGCTACGATTTTTTTAATTTTTGGACATTTTGGCAGTAATATTTGCTTTGTAACTTTTCCTGAACCGCATCCGATGTCCAATAAAATATCTTCGTTGGACCATTGCATTAAAGGTAGATGACATTCTAATGTTTTGGCAATGAGCTCGACATAAAAATTAGGATAATATTTTTCGTATTCTTCAGGATCTCCTTCCATTTTGAGACTAAAATTGATTAAATTTTCAAAATTATTTTAACACAAGATTAATGTATTTACAAATATATAAAGAATAAAGAGTTTTAATTATAACTATAACTATTTAATGATTAAATATAAAATACAATTAAATTTAAATAGAAATTTGTTCGATCATACAGCCCATTCTGGACTTTCGGACTACTTGTATGTAATACTTGGTTTCGGGGTGCTCGTACATTGGGCCACTTGAGGCACGTGCCCTCCCTTTTTTTCTCAGTTGCCCTTTTCCTAATCCTCAAGAGGGACCTAAACAACAGAAAATATGTGCCTTCTAGCCTATTCTGCAAATATAAAAGAAACTAATGAACGATATTTGTCCAATGACCCATGCAATTTCATCGTATGTTGACCAAAACCACTATTCCTTGTTTTCGAGGCCAAGTTAGCCTCCCGAGTGCAAACATGGATTCGACATTGAATCATAGAGTTTGAAACTCCAAAAAGAATCATTACCGAAGGGCAACGGGTAACACCATGTATCGAGCAGAGGGGTGCAATAAATGCATCCCTCTCCACAAGGAATGGCGGGATTAGCAAGAGTCGTAGTGAATTACGTTTTAAATAAGCGGCGGCACGGCCGAGGAGGTTTTAATATTATCATTATAATAATTTAACTATTCATAATAACTACTATTAACTTTGCAATAAATAAATTTTAATATGAAAATTAATAAAATATTTTAGTATAAACTTTGAATTTATACGTTATAATTTGAAAAAGAAAAATAGAATCAAAGTTAATTTAATTTAAAACAAAATGGTAAAGAAGTTTTCAAAATTCTAAGCAAAATTATATTTAAATTTATTTTTTTCAATTGATATACACATATACAGTATATATATTATAATTTTACTAACCTTTAAAGGTTTACTGCCAATTCTTTTTGTTGCAAAGTGTACAGTACCTATTTCAAAGAAGTTAGTTTTATATTTAACACTTAATCTGATTAAATTATCAGTTTGTAAATGATATAAAAGCGACCCTCGAAATTATTTTACATAAGAAATTCTAAATATCTAAAGGTTAAAAATTATCTTCTTATACAAACTTCCAATTTTCAAACTCATATTCATGTTTACGGTTAAAAATCTGAGTATTTTATGTCTAGACCCTCTCAGCATCGTCATTTGGACCGTTCCTTGTTTTTACGAGGGCCTTAAATGTGTCTGGAGTATGGAAATCGGTCAAAAAATGGCCCCTAAAATTTATACATTTTACTTTTTCAATGTTATCTGCTGTACTGTACGTTATATAAACCCTATTCGATAAGGATGGACTATGTGATAAAAATAACAGTCGAATCTTTGTGTATTTACCTATATCTATTAGATAAAACCATTGTTGTACGTTGCAAACGTTTAAGTCTTTTATCTTTAATGGGCTGAATAGTATAATGCTAAAGATTTTTTTTATAAATTAATTTTAAAAAAGTATTTTTCAAGACCATTGTAATGCTGAAGCAGTTAAGGCCTCAGTCTATCTCTCTGGGGATCCGGAATCAAATCCCGAGCAGCAGTCATTGAAATTTTACATGGGCGGAAAATTTCAGATATGTGGGATCCAGTCGACGCCATTTTGGGACTGGACGAACTCGTAGCGGGCATGTTTTAAGGCCCATCTTGAAAGCTTGACATCTTCATAGCTAATCTATCTTGGAATCCTGCGTGGCATAAAAACATTTGATGAAGATAAGCTTATATCGTTCTTAGATATAATTTAAATATTTTATCATCATATAAATATTTGATGAAGATAAGCTGATATATGAAAATACACTTTTGTGAGGCCCGGGAATAGTTCGTATTTGATGAGTAAAGGTGGTAATTTGATGAAAATGAAATAGGGAATTGTTTAAAACGCAATAAGGAAAAAGGAAGCGACGAGACAGAATATGATCGCGGGTGTCTTAGTCAGTGGTAAGTCGCGATTAGAGTCGAACGGAGGATGTCGGATAAACCATCCCGGCAGACCTTTCTTGCGACCCGAACTGATCTCGAATTCTATCTGTCGACAGGCAAGAGACCAATAGGGGAGCAGGAGGGGAAAACCCGATAAATGAGATGATGAATAAGGGGGAAGAGAGGTATAAAACCTCTGATGACGGAGATCCGCCCGTTCGATCAACCCATCGATCCAGGAGTTTAATCTACCCGTTCGAGAGATTCCTCCACTATTGTTCACTTTTTCCCCTGCTGATACCGAGAGGAGCTCGACTCACCTTTATTGATTTTCCTTTCTTTAACCGTGCATTCACCCAGGCTGCTCCATCGAAGGACAAGGAAAAGCGAGAGACTGACTGGAAGAAAAAATCCGCAACAGCGTCGAAACTCAACTACGTTTGAAAACAATCCTACATGGACTATTAATTAGGATCTTTAAGCATGGTCTACGAGCATATGGAGGTAGATTGCCCCAGTTTGTTTCTTAACAAGTCCCTTTTATCAGTCTTAAAGATTTTGTTTTGTTAGCAAAACAACGTTACGTCAAAATTTGACTGATTACTTAGTATTTTAAATTATATGCTAATTATAATAGTTATATTTAATTATAGTGTTTGAAAACCTACCCTTAAATATGATGGCAGAACTTTATTAATAACCGAGTTGATAGTATTATATAATAAAATAATACTTATAGGTGTTACTTCAGCATTTTTATATGATTATATTGTGCAAGATGTGTAACGTGATAATTAAAATTTCTAAATATTATGAAAACTTTCGTCCGTATTGTTCAATGTACAAACGTTTTATTTTTCTCTATTAAATGACCTAATTTTCTATGTATTAAATGAGAATTTTAAACCTTTGTGCAATATCACTCTGAATAATCACTTAATTTTTTGTAAAAATAAAACAGATATTAAAAATAATTATTACATGTTTTTATGTTACCAAGATCTTAACAGTGCCCATGTGGCAGAGTGGATAAAGCCTTCGAACATTGGTAGTTAGTTGGTCGTAGGTTCGCGCCTGGCCACGTGGAGTTTTCCAGGCTTTCACGTTTGGAACACCAAAATAGGGGATAAATTTCTCACGGGAGGCATCCCCTCGGCAGATGGCCCATGTGTCGCATAATCAACCAAACCAAAATTTTACATTTCCATTCATAAATTTATATAATAATAAAAAACAGTACCAAAACGCGCCATTGTGACACTTTTGGCGCTGCAAGCCCTAAGAATTTTATTTGTATAAGATATTCGTGCTACTATTGAAGTAATGCAGCGGGTATCGCTCAATGTGGCCCCCATTCCGTACGTGTAAAACCTACGGAATGGGGCCACATTGGATTAAGAGTTCAAGGGCCAACCATAATTGATTCTCTTAATGGTTCTCACATGCAATGCGATACTGTGTCGAGGCTGCCAAATTTGTAACATGTTCTCAACAAACCACACCGTTTAAGTGTCCATAAAAATCAAAACACAAATACGGGTAGTTTAATTACGATCACCCGATACGACAGGAACAAAAGACATAAATGTATTTAAATTTAGGCTTTAAAGGTCCTTCCTTCTAAGGCCTTTTAATTAAATAATTGCTTCAGAACTCAAATATTAATTTCAGTTATTTTAGTGAAAAGAGGAAAGCTCTGTGCCAATTCTTCCACTTAAATCTGTATTGATCAATGATTTTCATAAATCTACTGTAATAGCCATCATTAAAAATGCTGAATTTCATCATATAAATGAAGTTTACCTTTATTTCTGTATATTTCACTCTTCTAAACCTTTCTAAATATTACACTAATATTAAAAATGATAATATTTCTCCATTTATTTTAACTTTTAGATAATTTTATTGAACAACTTAAATTCCGCAAAAATGTTCACGAACCACAACGCCATTACGTCTATCGATGGCGACCATTTCGTAAAAGTCGAAGTTTTAGAAGAATTAATGTTAAAAAGTAATAAAATTCGCAAATTATATGCTGAATCTTTCAAGGATTTGTCCGAATTAAAAAGACACCACCTTTCTTCTAACCGAATTTCTAATTTAAACCACTCTTTGCGCCATTTGAAAAAATTGGAGATCCTGATGTTGGATGGAAATCCAGGAGTTTCGATGAAGAGCAGCTGAAGACCCTCTACAACTTGCATTCTTTGTTTTTTAATATGACTAAATTAAAGCAAATTGGCCAAATTTCAAAGTTAAATGAACTAATCGATTGGCCCACCAATTGTCCTAATTCGTGTAAATGTAGTTGCATCTCAACCCTGTCAGACTAGAACAATTGATGTGAATTGAACAATCTTAATTTAACATCCATTCTTGATTGTTTACCACGGAGGACTCGCCAATTAGATCTATCTGAAAGTGGGGTCCTAAAAATTTCCGCGAAAAGCCTCTAATTATTCTCGGATAAAAAAAACTATTGTGAAATGAACAGAACCCATTAAGATTTCTCATCACCAGTGGTACAATATAGCTTCATGGGGCACAGGCAAATTTGAATTAGAGGATCCCATGTGGTAGTGTTGATTTCAGGCATTTTACTTGGAGGGAATTGTAATAATTTTGTTCGTAACTTTGGATAAACAAAAACTGACAAATTTCTTTGTAAGTGAAGGAATAATAAGTAATTCTTTGTGCATAGGCACTTATTCATTTATGACAACTCTGATACAGCCAAAGAATAGGTAATGGATAGTGGAATATTCATTGTTTGTACTCAAAGCTTCTCAGTATTGTTAAAATATGTTTAACTTAATACATAAATTCTAACATTTTTTAGGTCTAGAGGTGGAACTGAAATTTAGTTTCTTCATTACTTAAAATTAGTAGTCTTCATTACCGTAGCTTCGCTCCCAGAGAATTCATTCGAAATGATATCCTCGATGCCAAGGAATGCAGTTGCAGAGTGATCATAATCTTGTCCAGGTTACCTTCTTAAAATTAATCTTTATTTAATTAAATGGCGTGAATTTATTTATTTTTTGACAATGCTACATTATAGGAATTTCTTGAAGAGCGAATGGTGTAAACTAGAATTTCGTGATATGCATCATCCACTTCTTCAGGATAAAGTTAAACAGGTTAATTGTAATCAAATATGGAGATCTTCCTCTTGTGGAAGAGTACAATTGAGCCGTTGAGGTTCACTTAGAATCCACTACTTATTTACCGTGGGGCAAGAAGTATTTTTGGCAGAAATTAAGGTATGCCGTAGCTAAGAAGAGAATGCCCAGAAATTCGGTGTTTTATTTTAAATTATTTTAGTTAATTATAATGAAGATATTAATGTAATTTTAAAACTATATTTGGACTTGTGTAGATTCTTGATCTTATATTAATTTCAAAAAATAAGAATAGGATACTAAGAAATGATAGAATTATGTGCAAAAATATAATTTTAAATACTAAATTGTCATTATTTTTTGGTTGTGTTAGAAAATTTGAATTGTAAAGTGGCTTGCAATAATTGGAAGAATGATATAGAATTGATTGTGACACATAATTCAGATTCACTATTATACAAGTTATCCCAGAATAATTTCTGTAGTTGTTGACACAGTACATCACACTCTCCACAAGGTTAGAAGCAAGTTTGTCAATACAGAACTGTAGTGGAAATTAAACGCACCAACGCCGGGAGACTGCCCGTTGTCTTCACGATGAAATAAGAGTTCTTTACTCTCTCATTAGAGGTATTTAGTCGCAGAAGTTATTTAAAAACACCCTGTACATTCATAAAAAAATAAGAAATCTTTATCATGGTTGTACAGACCAATAGCTAAGTTAAGACTGTAGGGTAGTGGTTATTATGGTATATAACAATCAGTAATTTAAAATGTATTAATAGTTTAAGTCAATCAAATTTTTTCCAGCATATACTATTTTCTGTTTTTAGTTTATTCAACAAGCAATGGTTGGTTTTAGGTGTTCTCTAATAATTTGTTTCTTATTAATGTTATGTATAAATATTCAGTTTGTGTTTAATGTCCAATAGTTTTACAATCCAAGTGTTCCAGATATATTTTGATTAATGATTGTATTTATCATTATTAATTAAAGTCAAATATTCATTACAAAAACCATTTGATCTATATAGACAATACTTGGTGTTTTACAGGGTTAATGGGACATTTCTAGGCTTATGTCCCTAATTATGCATCAGGCTCAAATGTTTTTAATGAGTTTTAGGTAGATAAGTGACAGATCTTCCTACAGATTTACAAAATTAAAATCAATTACTGGGTTGGAAAAGAATTGACAGATGCAGATGTCATTTCTGTAAATAGTATCACAGAATGTAAGCGGACTTCAAAATGATCAGTTTTGAAAAATCACCCATCTTCGAAAGATGTCATCAAATACACTTACTACAAGCCAAAATCTAGATTTTTTTGGAAAAATAAAAAAAAGGGCATACGACTACATTAGGTAACAAAATTACAAAGAATTAGATACTTTAGAACTAGGAATTACATTAGGTACTTTGACACACCATACTTTACTCTTGTACAGTGTGTCAAAAAGTGAAATTTAAATATGAATACTGTGATCATTCTGAATTGGGCAACAGAACCATGTAAGGTTAGTTATTTCTGCAAATTCAATATGAACAAGTGCAGCAAAGAATCTGGATCTACTAAGTCTTTTCTAGTAATAATTGAAGAGGCCACGTGAATGAAAATTGCAACAGCTACAAAAGAAAATACCAGGAATACTTTGAGAAGCTACCAGAGAATTTGGATTAATAACAGCATTGTATATGAAAGTTAACAGCAAATAAAAAAAATACTTTGAACCAAGATGTATGATCCAATTTTGATGCCTGTTATCAAACTCAGTTGTGAAATGTCTGTAACAAGTGACTAAATCAAACACACATCCAACCCTTTTATTGCAAGAGCAACAGTAAACTTTAAGTGAAGGGGTGTGCGGCACACCAATAATTTCTCTCATGGGTGGGTTCTGTGGTTTCAGGATCCGGGATAAACTTAATCCATGAAATTTAATTAAGTTTATGCCATAAATTTCAAAAAACTTGCCTTAAAAGATCCTATTTGTATTTCTCCGAATAAAACTTCAGTTCGTAATTTGGTTATTATACTCTATTCTGTGCGTAAAAGTACAATCAAGAACTTATTATATGACTAAAATATGAATAATATTGTTCTGTAGTACGAGTAAAACTTTATGCTAATTTACAGAGCAAAGCCATTAATGGCAGGACCATTTGCATAACACATTAAATACTCGATAAAGCAGCAAAAATCATTTATTCTGCATAGACAATTTTTATAAACAAATCAAATAATAATTCAATGGATTCTTTGTAAATTGATTAGTTATTCATAATACTTAACAAAACCAGTAACAAGTTTCACATTTTCAAGTTTTTATAAAAACTATATATCACAATCATAAAGGTCTTTTCTTTTCTTTTTTTTTTTTTGTAAATAAGCAACACAACAACCTTTCAACAGGATTAAGCTTATTTTATAGTTGGCGGGATTTGGGATTCAGTGCAAGATTTAAGAAAAATATTTATGTACAGCTTTTGTCGTCCGTGGAGGAAAAGGGAAAAGAGAAAAAAAAAAATTGACTTATTTCAGACTTGCTTTTCTCAAAACTAAAAAACTAATTCTTTTTGGATAAATTATTAAATTAAAAAAGAATCAAATGTCGATTACGAAACCTTACGTCCGCATTCTAATTTATGGGGATTTGATTTTCGTACAGGTAACTCTGTTTTGTGCAATTTATTAATGGGGAAGAAAGATGAACTGTAATTTAATAATATGGATGATCGATATAATTTCCTTTTGAATGAAAACGTTTGTGATTTTACAAATACCTCATTCTTTTAACTACATTATGTACAAATAATTTTGTAAATTTGTAACTGATTTATATACATATATTCAGAATGGAAGCGTAAAAATTCATAAAACATTCAAATAACAACCTCGGTAAGTACGTTGCCAGACGATGCGAGAGTTGAAACACTTACGAAGACCACTTATGTTTCGTCGAGATTAATATTATTAATTTGTACCCGATAGATATCTTCTATCATAATTTTCAACTTCAATAACTTGATTATTTCTCTCTGGTACGAACAGTTTTGTTTTTAACAATTGCACTTGTCGTCAAAAAATAGCATTTATGTTAACTAAAATTTCTTTTTGTATACGAGGAAACAGTGGACTAATGCGTCACTTTGTCCGAAGGGAATGTCGGCGAAGAATCGGAGTGCGAACCAGAAAGAGGTCTCTCTAAACCCAAAATATCTTTTCGTTAGGTCTTAGTATTAATCTGGCTTGCATCATAAATTTTAATATAAAAATTATGTATATAATTACCAGAAGAAAGACTCATGGGTCTGTTTCTTATGTTTGGACTGTAACTGGAACTTTTCCCATGAGAGTCAAGAAGGGCTGCTGCCAAGTTTGAAGTGCCATGAGCAAAGTAATCTGCTCCATGAATGGAATTATCTGTAAAGATATTTTAAGATTTTTTATTCATAAATATGGATAAAAACATAAAAGTAAAATAATTATAATGATACCCATTTCTCTATTGCGTAAATGCATCTTGATGGGAGCGGGACAGTACACGCAAGAAGCAAACTGCTCGAAAGTTGTTGGATCTTTATGGTTCTGCACAATCGTTTCTAATGATCTGGATCTTTCTTCATAACTTTGTCAAATTGTCAAAAAAAAAAAGTCCCAAACAAATAATTAAATTGCTTTTTAATTTTAAATGGGAATAACTTATTTTAGAACATGGACCATTGATCAAGTGATCCAATTTAACAAAAATAAAAAAAAACTTTTTGTGCTTAGAAATAGTAAGTTTTCCTCGCATTTTGCATTAGTGTAGGATGTATGTTAACAAAATGGCTTTAGAATCCATAGGTAAACATGTAATACCAAATTCAATAAAACTACCATTCTATTTAATGCATGACACACTGCAGTATTTATTTGAATGGCTTGAAAGAATTCAGCATTGTGATTGCAACATAATGGCATCTGCCAGATATTAAAAGCAATCAAATATCTTATCTACTGAAGTCTAAGATGATAATATTAGCCCTAGCATAACATCTGCTTTTAGTCAAATTGTTCTGCCAAGCATTCGATTGTGTCAATTAGCATAAAGCAGCCCAAGAATTTTATTAAGTATCCTAACAAATTATTTAAACACACACCTAATGGCATATGCTTTTATTAAATCCACCCTCAACCACAGTATGCCGACATTTAGAGCTTTTGACCAACTTCAAAAGTGTGCTTGTGTATTGTTACTTACTTTGTAAATTATTTTATAAAAACTTATAAAAAATCCAGAATATTAAATTTTTAGAAATTTTGCAGTTGCCTTTGTTACAGAGTAAACTAAACTCATTCTGAATCAATCTCTTCTCCCCGACTATTCTAAACTAATAAACTTAATACAAGATGGTAACTCAATTGCCTATTTTTTCTTTAGACCAGACTGCTGAATTAAATATATGGATAGATGATAAATGGATTTGTCAAGCCATAACTTGGTTATAATTTGATCAATAAATAATCAATCAAAGTAGACAACTGAAAAATCTAGTATTCTACATTTGGCATTTGCCAAATAATTGCCTATTCGTCCCCTTTGATTTGGCATGATAAACCAATGAGGCGTGGGACATGACAAATACCAAATACAGGGTGATTTTTAATTTATGCAAACTTTAAACTTTAATAACTTTTCAACAAAATGAGATAAAAATAAAATTCAAAAAGTAATATATAGTACAATGTTTACATTTTTGATGTCATGTTTGATTAATGTTAACAGTCATTTTCAAAAGGTAACACTCACTTTAGAACAACATGTATTTACTGTAGAGAATTATCATCAAAATTCTAATTCTCCAATTGGTGTGCTATCTGTGTTAGTGGGGTATTGGACCACTCTTCTTCAAAAAGAATGTTACTTCTGCATATATTGAATTATTGGAAAAGAAGTTTTATCCCAAAATGCTTGTTGGGCATAAACATTGTTGTGCTTGGTTTATACAAGATGGTGTGAGACCCCATTGCACTAAGCAAGTGTTCAAAAGTCTTTACAGCATGTTTGAGAAATGTATAATTGGATTAGATTATAAAAAATATGCTGGTGGTGGCATGGAGTGACTGCCTTATAACCCCAACTTAAACCAGCAGTTGTCTTAAAGACAGAGTATATCACAATGCTACTACAACTATTGAAGAGTTGATAGATATGATAAAAAAAACAAATACTGGTGATTCCAAGAAAGACCTTTATTACTTGTTGAATTTTAAATGGTAGCTGTATTACGTATTATATAGGTAAATGTCTCTTCAATCCGAACAAAATTTCGGTAGACTTTCTCACAGCTCTACAGGTTAAAAATCTCCTTTATTGTTTTTCACATATGCATTTCGGGCAAGTTTAATTTTCCTGCCCCTCTTCAGTGCTTAAGATTTTTTCTTAATCTTAAGCACTGAAGAGGGGCAGGAAAATTAAACTTGCCCGAAATGCATATGTGAAAAACAATAAAGGAGATTTTTAACCTGTAGAGCTGTGAGAAAGTCTACCGAAATTTTGTTCGGATTGAAGAGACATTTACCTATATAACCTTTATTACTGTTATTGAATGTTTCAAAAATTAGTTAAAAACTATTATTGCAAGCAAAGATATCATTTTGAAAACTTAATTCATTAAATGGAAATAAATTCTGTATAATATGTTTTTTGGATTTACTTTTTATATCAGATAGTTGAAAAGCTGTTAAAGTTTAAAGTTTTGCATGAATTAAAAATCACCCTGTATTAACTAAGAGTAAATCGTCTGCGCTACTTGGCACTGGCCAAATATTTGCAGCCGCCTTAAAATTCTTATCACAAAGAAAAATGACCAGAAGTTAGAAAACTAATTACAATTTTTTCAAAGGATACAAATTTTGATATAGTGGTATTAATGCACGTTTTGCTCTACTAGCATTAATAGCGGTTGCACGTACCAGACCGGAGAGTACTTTTTGATCAATTATAGCACCATTGAAAAGAGGTCCAAAATAAGGAATCTAAAATAAAATATTTATATTAATTTCAATTTTCTTAAAATTATTTATAAGAAACATTTAACAAGTCTTACTTCTGGTTTTCTGGATATCTGAATTCTATATAGTTGATTTGGTAACGGATAGATGACAATCAGAACGTCACAAAATTCAGTGGCTATGATGCCACGTCTGTAATCTCTCGTGTGTTCCGACCAGACAATGTGCACTTCATCATTACCGAGATGACACAACTAAATTTAGAAAATAATTTAAGAAACATCTTAGGATTTGAAGAGACGGCAAAAATTCATACAAATACCTTTCTTGTGATCAAGGTTTCATCCATCGACGTTGGCATTCGAGTCGATACATGAAAGATCACTTCCAGAAAAGAAGTTGCATAGTAAGGAGCGCTGTCGCCTGTACTTTTGTTTCTCTGTAAACCACCCATAAAACCAGTATGGGTTTCCAAGTCAACCTACGAAAGAATCAAATTAAAATTTTAAAAATTTATTAATATAAACAAGAAATCGTCTCTGGTACAAAAGATTTCTGACCTCCCAACCTAAGCCAGCCACAAATTCTTCAAATGCCTGACTTCCTCCACTGTTCAGAAGAAGAGAGTTTTTGTCTTCCTGACCTTCGGCAACATATATCACAGCTATTTTGTGTGTTTCGCGACTGTAATATATTTAAAATTTATCATTAAATAAGAAATTTAAAAAATAGAAAAGGTCATAACAAATATATTCTGAATTGGAAGTCAGCAAAGCTGACATAACTTAAAAGAAATGCAATACAGAGTGGAATTCAACTCTGCAATTCCCTAAAGTTGGGCAGATTGCACATTGCTTCAATTAAAAATTTGGAATCAACACATAATTCAGATTTGTGAATAAATTCATAAATCATATACAGTAAATTTCCATTTTTATAATCTAACTGCAGGGTCCATACTGGTAATTCTATCTGTGATTCTCTGATCAATTATGACCTATTACAGTCTTTGCATTTCCTCTTTTCATTATGTAATATTCAGCCAAGTCCTTTTGCACACAAGTATATAAATTTTTTATTAAAAAAAGCACTTTATTCACTTCTTAAAAAACTTCACATGAAATTGATTACATAATTAGCTACATCATATAAAAAAATTGCATAATTTTACTTAAATTAATTCATAAATTTTATTTGAATAACAAAAAGACTTGTGTCGCATCATAAAATCAAATTTTTTTAAAGTGAGGAGGCAGTAAATTCAAAATAATTTAAACAGAAGAAATTGTGCACTCTATGACAGGGAAAAATTGTTTATTGTGTGTTATTTTTGATCCAGCATGAATCCATTTAAAGTCATTACATTACTTTCCATCCCTCTCTGACACTTATAAGGGGTGATCAAAAAGTTTCTGTTTAAGGATATGGCACCTGATGCGTTTCAATGTTGAAGGCAGCACATTCCTTGAGTGCATTGTTGCTGGCAACGAAAGCTGGTGCCACCACTGGGAACCTGAGTCGAAAGTGGCGACCATGCAGTGGTCATCCTTCATCCCTTCGTTCCAAGAAGTTCAAGAGCCAGTCATCTGCTGGAAAAGTGACACTTACCCTGTTCTTCGATCACCAGGGCCCATTGCTTATTGATTTCAAGGAACCAAGTCTCCATCACTGGGGCATAGTACTGTGAAATTCTGGAGAGATTACAATGTGCAATTAAGGCAAAACATCCAGGAAAACTACAAAATGGGGTGATTCTGCTTCATGATAACACACACCCCCACACCACAAATGTCATAATGCAGAAGTTACGCACAGTAAAGTGGGAGACACTCGAGCACTCGCCTTACAGTCCTGATCTCTCCCCATGTGATTTTCATGCCTTCGGTCCCTTAAAGAAGTCCTTAAAAGGTTGACGGTTCCAGTCAGATGTAGAAGTGCAGCAGACAGTTTCGGACTTCTTCAAGCAGCAGAAACAGGAGTTTTACCAACAGGGTATATTCAACCTGGTGAAGCAGTGGGATGCTTGCCTAAATGGTCATGACACTTTTGAATGACTGGCATACCAAATCTGGACTGTACAGCCTTCAAACAGAAACTTTTTGATCATGCCTTATATAATGGGAGCAACAGAGTTTTGACGGAAAAGTGAATCATTGTTGATGAATTTTTTGAAAACCTGATTTTAACTCTATTGTGACATTTTGGTATACTTCCAAAATTCTGCAGGCCATCTGAAAATGAAAATTTGCAATTAGAGAGAAGACATATCACAGATCATTAGTCTGTCAAAATTGGCAGGATTATTATCTCCACATACTATATGTGGCCAACAGTAAGGAATAAAACAAACAAAAAAAAATACATAAATTGCATAAGTCCGCCATGCAGTCCAAAATGTCCCATACACAATATTGTTCTTTGCCTATCCCCATAACATCAACTGACTGCAAAGGGCTAATCAGATGTTGTGCAGGTCAAAAAAATTGGGTCAGTTGTGAACAGGACACAATTGCAATGGTTAAAATGTTAAAATGGTTAAAATGTTATCCCATGTTAAAATTTTTCCTGTTGCGTGTCACTCCACATTGAATGTTTGTCGATGTTAAGCCTAACAAAAATTCCATGTTTTAGAAAAAAATAATCATGACTATTGTATCGTCCAAAATTATTTTTTATTTTGCACAAACAAAATAGACATATTAATAATAAATGTAAAAACAAAAAAAAAAAATTATATTTCAGAAGCTTGTTTTAATATAAAAATTTTGCTGACTAGCGATGTCTAGTGTCAATAACATCACAATGCAGAAATGAGATATCTCAAGTCCACAGTTGACAGACATTATGTTTCAACCCAAGATATGTCGAGAATACTAGGGAATAGGTTAAGGCATGAATCTGTCTTTGTGTTATTAGAGGAAGGATAAGAGGTAAATATATCAATAGATGTCAATATCTATCGGTTCAAGCGGTGGTGCACTCAAAGTATTCACATCAGAGTTAACATGCACAGTTTTTTTAAGCTCTCTATACAATCTGCATCATTAGGCATTAGTTATTTTGGACTTTTCTGATTCCTTTTAAATTTTTCTTTCCAGTGATATATATTTCTTACATTTCTGTTCACATTTCCTTTGCAATTTCTTCAACATTATGAAAATTTTCTACAACTCACACACTTATAGAATTTATAGTTACAAGCCTTATCAACTTATAACTTTACAAATTCTATTTTATCAATTACTCTTGCTAAGTAATATTGTAGATCCTGTCATTCTGTACAAATTGATATCAATTTCAACATTCCGTCTCTTCTCAATCCAAAGTTATACCAGCCCAAACGCCATGTAGTGTCCCTATTTTCAGTGTTCTTGTGCAAGCACAACCCCCTCAAAGCTGCACATCCCCATTATTCACCATTTTAAACACAAACATAAACCCTACAGAAAATTTTTTATGCAAAACAGACCAGTTGAAATGTTAGATGCACAAGAAATTCCACATGGCCAGTCAGGCACAAACCCATGAATCATTTGAGAATTTTAACCATTATGACAAGTCCATAGAGGTCCAGTAATAATGAAAAATTTATAAAAGTTGTACACATAAAAATAGAAAGCTACTATTTACAATTCCTAAGATCAATTCAATTTATGTAATTAGTTCTTTACAAAATCAACTATTCAAAATACAAAAGGTTTGCATAAAAAAATTACAAATTTCAAGTTTTTGTCCATTCAAAAATCAAACACACCACAGGACTTCTGTTCCAAGTTATTATTATTATTATTATTTTTTATCTAGAATATCTGTAATCACTTCTAATTATCAATGCACTTAAATAATTGGTCCAATAGAATGTGATAATGTAAACTATATTCTAGTAAACAAAAATTAATAGAAATATTATACAATTAACTGTTTAAGGAATTTGAAACTGCAATAGTGTAAGCATACATCCATACATGCTTTATTTTGTTTGTAAAGTAATTTAATCACTTTGAATTAAAGTGAAATTTTGTAATTTATTTATGCTTTTTGTATTTCTGTAAATAAAATTTGTATTAAATATATTTTAAATTAAGAGTTATTAAAATACTATTTAAATTTTTATAAGTTATTTATAAAAAAAAATTTTGTACCATTTCTGATTATCCAAATTTCTCAATTCTCTCAACAGCTTCTCGTTCTTTTTTAACAGATCGAAATGCGGCCTAATAAAATAAATTTTATTTTTAATATTTTATTTAAAACTATTGTTAACTATGGTAAATATATGTAAAATTTCGTAATTAATATACGCTTAGATTTGGCTCATTTTTATGTACACAGAGGATAGAATATTATATCAATTAAATACACTTTTAACCTTTACATGAAAATTTTATAAAAAACACATTTTTTTTTATTACACAATCATTGTTAACATTAATTATTACACAAAATTTAGGTATTTATTATGTACTGCTAGCCAATGTATCCGGAAATGCTCGGGTCATCTTACAAAAACATCAAATGGATTCAGAAACTATATGTGCTCGTTAGTCGGCAACTATATATGTTGAATATTTGCTTTTGTTATGGCATTGACAAATTTTCTGTTTAGCTTTTAATCTACTCTTAATATAATAAATTTTGTTTGTTTATGTGTTTTTGCATAGATTTGTTTTGTGATATTTTACACAAATATTCATAAAAGTTATTCTTGTTTTACATGTATATTTGTTTTTACATATTTTTGTACATATTTTAAAGGTTGTGTGTTTGTTGTACTGGAACTGCAATTGATTGTCCTAGCATCATCACCCATAAATAATAAGTTAGTAAATAAATTTTCTCTGTCTCTTAAATAACTTCTAATACATATATAAAAAAACAAAGAAGAAAGCAATTCTTAGTAAAGCAATCCATAACAAAACAATTTAAAAAGCTGTAGCCAATTTTTCATTTGATATATGAATTTGTCTTCTTTTTGCTGTATGCTTTGTACTCAGAGGAAAATAATTCATCTACTTGCCTTTTTTCCCACGATATAAATCCTAACTGCTCTAACAACAACCTGCAATGTTGAAATGGAGAGATGTTTTTGCATTGTCCTGGTGGAATTGCTGGTTTTGCCATAGTACTGTATAATAATAAAATAATATGGCATTATCTATAAAATTTAAAATTAATTTATTAACTGTATAATTTTCAGTATCTGACCTTGAATCTATGGAATGCTTCTGATTGTGAGTCATTTCAAAATTTCTCTGATTTAATACGACCGTCATGGTGTCAACTTCTTTTTCAGTGGTGCCCTCTCCAAAAAGTGGAGCAGGTGTATTCAGTGGCTGTCCTGGCCGCAAGACACATTCCGGACTAGAATGATCGATATACTGCAACAACTGGGGAGGAAAAAAAATTAATAAATAAAAGTTAAATTTAAATAGGATTTTTGTCTTTAAAATCTAAGTAATTTAAACTGCTCACATCATCCAAGTTATCCAGGTCATCGGCACTGTTTTCCACTGTGGGCAGCTCATGCGGAGAACGGTGTCTCAGAGTATCGCAAGACGGTGAGGCAGACATCCCTGTCAGGCTCAACGAAGAAGATGACAGACTGTGATAGGGCAGTCCAGCACGGGGATTTAAGAAATTATTCACAGATATACTAACAGACTGATCTAAATTTTAAAAATAATCAAAATTAACCCAACTAAATTTAAAGTGATTATTATTAAATTACAAAGAAAATTTTTATTATTAATTATAATTTATATATTAACTAGCCTGGTAAAACGGAAGCAGCTTGACAATCAGGTGGACCGTACAAAACAGAACAATCCCAAGAAAATTTCCCACTGAGATCTCGAACTATAATTCTCACCTGGGATCTTCCAGTAATTAGATCGGAAGTTGGACCACCTCCAGGCACTTCCTACAAATAAAATAATTAAATTTTATAAATAATTAGAAAGACAATATAACTCAATTATGAAAAGTATCAAAAATTAGTAAGCAATTAATATTTTAGAAAATCTAACTAAATATTATAAATATACACAGTACTGTACTGTAATAAACTAATATAGTAATAAAAGTGGGGTCTACTGTATTTGTATTTTATATTATTAGTTATTCCTGTTTACATCTAATGATCCAATATTTTATTTTAATTTTTTAGTATAATTACTTTATATTCAGTGATTTAATGAGTACAAACTTTATTCAGTACGAATGCTTAATTCTGGAAGAGAAGATTGGTCCCGAGTGGGACTCAAATCCAAACTCTTGCTTACAGTGTAGACACATTGCCAGTTACACCGCCTGGAATTCTGTCTGATCTTCTCTTCCACGCAGCATAACTAGCGATGCATCTGCACAGCAAGCAGGAGTTATGGGTCAGAATCCAACTCCAGGTTGATCTTTAAAATAACTTAAAAATACCAAGTAAAAGAAGTGTCGTTCTTATGTACATATAATTTGTTCTGTAATAAATTCTTCTAACAATTAATTTTATTTAATCAGTAATATTATAAAGCTTACCACACAGGGAATTTCGACAAATGATATTATGGAGCTGTTTAAAACAAAGAACTGAATATTCGGAGCATGGAAAACTTCTGTTGACAGCTCGTCTCTTGTCAACAAGGGAACGTCGTCAGCCTCGTTGACCAGACTTGTCAGACGAGCGGCACCAACTCCCATTGGAAAGTGTCCCAAGTGATTAACTAAATGCGACATCACCTGTAACATTTATTTAAATTGTTATAAATCTGTTTCTTATATTTTATAAATGATAGTATATAACTAGACTTAAATTTGCCTATTAAATTATTTGTGAAACAAATTAATATACACTAAAAAGATAAATAATTTATAAAAAAATAACATACGACTTTAGCGGCCAATTTTATTATATTAGAGTTTCTTTTCATGTCCATCGGAAGCGTACAAGTTTTAATAAAACTCTCCATGGACGACTTTTCCATATTATTTGCAGATGACAACTTAGGCGAATTGGCAATGCCAACGTGCTCTTTCAAGTTATCATAATGAATGTTGGGATCCACGTCCGGTCCGACCAAGTCCGTCATACTCGTTATCGGTGCAGCTTTTTGTATGTCACTTTTCCCTGAGACTGCAGTATTCAGTACCTAAAATATTTATTAAATACAATTAGGAAAATATAATTTTTTTAAATTTAGAAGAAAATTATTATAATTTTATATATCAATTAAATTTAAATTTTTTAAAAAGTCATAGTCATATTCAACATTTAAGGTTAAATTTAGAATCAAAATTAAATCATACATCAAATTAAAAATCCCTATTTGTTGCATGTCAATTCTACATTTAACTTTTAAAATTTTAATTGTAACTTAATTTAATGATAGTAGTGCTTTAATTCTCATATAGTGGGGTTAAAATGTGCATTTATTAGATTCATAAAACAAAATAAATGTATTCAAATTCACGACAACATAGCAGCGTGAATTGTTTGAATGAAAGTTATGTATTTGAACAAACCACAGCCTCTAACATCATTTCCTTCTCAATCAGAGAACTTTATAATCCAGTGTAAGGCTTTGTAAACTTTTTCCATTTGACACCCTCTTATGTTTGAGATAATTTTACACAATCCTTGGTATATAGGTATATAAAATCACTTGTTGATAATATATCATTCCAAACAGTTCTTTGATACAAATATTATTTTACACTTTATTTAAAATGAAAGCAAATTTGCATACTAATGAGATGGACATGCTTGTTTATTTTTACATAAAGAATTAAATATAAGTCAAATATTTTATACTGGGGACACGGGCATCTTTGACATTTTTTCAGATTCGACCTACATTTTGATTTTATAATAGTCTATACCAAAAATGCCGCTTCGCACAGATGCATAGTACGGTTGTCAAATTTTTTGCTACCACTACATTCAGTTCCACACTTTAAGAAGTCCCAATCTAGCATTAAATTGGATTGTTAAACATAGAAAGTAAATGTAGAGTTACCTGCTTGAAATATTAAATTACTGTTATTGAATATATAATTATTTACTAGTAAGTAAAGAATTTATGATGATAAATTATAAAATACATACTTTGAAGACTGATAACAAAAGTGAATTATTATTTTTTCCCAGTTGGGTTAAAATATTTTGTGGTAAATGCAAGCACCATTCTCCTAAACAGAATATCAACGATAACAGTAACTGAAAAATAAAATGTTTTTATTTTATATTTTATTTTATTCTTATTTTATAAGAATAAAAGTATAAAATGCATGGTTAATTTGCATAAATTTTATATATTTATCTATTCACTAAATAATATATCATACAATATATATGTTTATACATTACAATAGATCAAAATTTTTAAAAAATTAATTTGTTTAAAGTTATATGTCAACACAGAATTACTTTTCATATAATTTAATGTTTGATGATTGTTCATTACTGTATTTTCAAATTTAATAATACTATTTATTTAGAAAGGAAATTAACATAATATTGGCATATTTTGGAGCAGGGGTGGGCAACCTCTTTAAGTGCGCATCCCAAAATTGTCAAATCCGATGCAAAATTTTCTTACACGTCAACCAAAATTTTTGAGAGTATATTATTATTTGGTCCCTTTTAAGAATCAAGAGAGCATTTTCAGATAATCAAAAGTCTGCATACATATATGCAGATTTTTACTTTTGATATATATACATACTTTAGAAATCCAATAAATTTGACAAAATGTGAAAAAAATATATAAAACAAGACAATGGCGAAGAAATTGTTCCACGTCTGGCTATCAGGCAAACGATGCAACAATCAAATAAGGCAAAACTTGAAGTTGGTATATTGCAGAGATAAATGTCTTGGAAATAGGTTGTTTCTTTCATTTTCTTATTAATTACTACTACTAAAACAATTAATAGTGTTTGTTTCTTCATTGCATTTTTATTTAGTGTTGCTATGCTTGATAAAATTGTATTTATATTAAAACTTTCTGAATTACTGGAGGTAATCACATGAAACAAAACCATTAATTACCAGTAACAAAATAACGAAAACGCCGAATGTTTTCATTAATTTGTTATTGATGTTTTCTATCAATACAAGTCAAAACATATAGCTTGATGAAGATGTTGGATATTTACTTTTTAAGGCAAGTCTTGGGTTTCATACCAGAATAAATTCATTTGCATAACAAAGGTTCCCACCCATTATAGGCTAACACAATCAGCTTCAATTCTATTACAAGACATTTGAAGGACTCGACTAAGAGCAAAACTTGTATTTATGGTACCTTCATTTCTCAAAAATAAAAACATTTTCTGTCTCTTTGGAGGCCCAATTCGGTATTAGAACAAAAAAGATGTATTAGTCAACCAAACTTCCTTTATCCGATATATTCAAATGTATTCAATGAAAATGGTGTTATAAGCATAATTTTGCTCTAGTGCTTTAATTTTGTTCCAGCTTCTGTTGGAATTTTATAGACTCGACCAATACACAACAGGAAATGATGCAGCAGTATATAAGAAAACAAATGTCAATCGATGAGGTTCAAACGCGGATCACTTGCAATAACTTATTGCATAGACATCCGACCAACATTCTGTTACTTAAATATTAAATAACAGAATGTTTCATAGTATATCTCAAAAATGTTTATGAATATATAAAATATCTAACAATTTAAATAAGATATTCATAAAAAATCTCCCATTTTACAATTAACAACTTTACATTCTCAACTTTCATAACTATTATAAATTTTCTATTACGACTGTACAGAATGTCATATTTCTACATTGATTGTCTTTTTTTGTGTAGTTAAGAGTATTCTGAGAAACATAATCTTAATATTTAATGTTGAGCTTATGAAAAATACAATGACTTACTTTATGATGTTTCATTTTTTAGCAACTCTTCCAGGTTCATAAAAGTAGAGTCTACCATACACAAATTATAAGCATTTATATATAATTTTGGGATTTTTTATGTAATTTCTGATGCAACTGAAGGGATTTCACATTATTTAATCTAATATCAAAAGAAAAATAAACAAAATCCTTGGTTCTTTATTATACTATTGTCAGTTACTAGAAATTCAATTTTTACATTACAAAAGATAAAGCCGAGAAATTATTTAATGTAGTTCAATTTAATAATCTAGATGGCTGAGGTGGTACAGACATCGGCCCGCCACTCTGGAAACTGGGGATCAAATCTGGGCAGAAAACTCCAAGAATTTTTGTGGGAGATCTGTTCCTAATGTATCTGCTAATTGTAAGAATCGATCTGACTGACTGAAATGTTTGACGGATTAAACAAACTTGCTGGTTAAGATTTGAACATTTTTGCTCCCCCAATCTTAAGTTTTGTTTTTTAATTATCCAATAATATATACATATAAAACACATATCATTCATCATTACGTATAAACTACACAATATATACCTTTAACAATTATTCAATTTTAATGCACAAATGCATTACCAGTAAATTAAAATATCATTGTAAACCAATGATTAACTAAATTTGACATGGTTACCTTTTTGTCGTCATCCGAAGGCGAGTTTTCCAAACACGGTAATAAAGATGCAAGAGTCGATGCTATAATCTATGGTAAAAAAAAATAAAGTGAAACAAATTATGTAAGTAGTTTTAAATAATTTATAACTTAGAATATTATCAACTATTTCTTACAGAAGTAGAAAATTATTGTTCCTTTCTCTATATATCTTCAGTGGCGAAAGTGTGGCTTGTGAGCCACATGCGACTCTTCTACACCCTTATTGTGGCTCCCATGGTCATAAAATATAACATATTCATAAGTAGTATGTCTCAAGTTTATAAAAAGAAATTGTATAATTATATGGTAGTCACCACAAGAGTCTAGAACAGCCATGTGCAGCTCACAGACACAGTTTTGCCGCCATGGATTATACGAGGGCAGACAAACAAATCATTTTGTTTGTGCTTGTAGAGCACAAATGAAATGATTTTCAGAAGCGTGTCAGATGGCATATGGAAGTAACATTCCCCCTCTATGTGCATGCACAGTTTGAGGTTGTTGCGGTCTTTCAGTATATTTTNCCATGGATTATACGAGGGCAGACAAACAAATCATTTTGTTTGTGCTTGTAGAGCACAAATGAAATGATTTTCAGAAGCGTGTCAGATGGCATATGGAAGTAACATTCCCCCTCTATGTGCATGCACAGTTTGAGGTTGTTGCGGTCTTCTTCTTCTTGGTGCCATATCAGATTCCTGACGTCGGCGACACCTGGGGTAGGTTTGTAATCCGCCAAGGTGTATACTAGGGAAAGTTACTACCCAGAGTGGTTTCCCGTTGCCTTCTCTGGGGCGCGATGTTACGCGAGGGGAACTAATGCCTTCCGGGAGGACTTTTATGGGGAACTGGCCTCCTATTTAGTCGTTATTGGCAAGGAGAAAACCCGGAAAACTCCAAGCAGCCAGCCTGTCCGATCGCGGCGCGAACCCACGACCGAACTCCCAGTGTTTAGGGTACGAAGACCACTCGGCCACTGGTGGGCTTGTTGCGGTCATTCAGTATATTTTGAGAAGCGGAAATATGGAGACATGTTCTGGTGCTATGTCAATGCAAGTTAAACAGCATGCTGTTATCGAATTTTTAACTGCTGAAAAAATTACGTTTAAAGGCTGTTTATGGTGACGACGCTGTTGATAGGTCTATTGTAAATTGATGGATAATAAAATTTCGTGGTTGCGAGCCTGGAAAATCCATAATTATTGATGAAACATGCAGTGGAAGACCAATCACTGCCACATACAATTACCGTTACACCTTGTTGCAATGTTTAATTCTTCTCAGTATATACAGACTCTAAAACACCTCTGACGTTGAGTTTGACATGTTAGAGGCAGCCTGACACCAATAATCTTGCAACATGACAATGCTCGTCCACACACCTCGCGCGCAACTGGAGAGGCTCTGTGAAACCTGAAGTTTGAACTGATTCCACACCCTCCTTATTCCCCCGATCTTGCGCCTTGTGATTTTTATTTGTTTCCTCTACTTAAGAGAAACCTCAAGGGTAATCATTACACCTCAAACGATGAGGTGAAGGCAGATTTCAAGTCCTGGATTTGAGAAAACGTGGAAGAATTTTTAGTGTAACTGGCATCTGCACAGTAAGCAGGAGTTGTGGGTTCAAGTCCCGCTCTGGGCCGATTTTTTCTCCCAGCGGTTCTAAATTATTTAAATTAATTAATTTATTTATAATTATTAATGTTAATAAGAGATGGCGCCTAACGCTTACCTCTAGAGCCAAATTGGTTACGTAATTCATTTAGTAATTAGACTTAAACTAGCCCAATAGATTTTCGGCATACGATTGGTGTTTAGCTATATATTATATATTGGGTTTAGCAATGTTTGAAGAATTTTTCAGTGACAGAATCAAAAAACTTGTTACACGTTGGGAGAAATGTGTTAGTCATCATTAAGGCTATGTTGAAAAATAAATATATTATTTTGAAGCTTAAGAATTGTACTTTAATGTACTTTTTGCCCGATCTTGCTATTTGTTTTTGTTCGTGTTCTACAAGTATGTGTGCATTATTTTTCAGCCTGCCCTCATACTATTAACTTTTCTAATTAATTAAACAGATTTTAAATAATCACTGCTTAACATTTATCTAAAAACCTACCTCTATTATTTTTGGAGGAATATCAGGATACTGCTTCACGAAATAATCCGCATGATCGGTCAATAACAACAACATGTCCGAAGAAACTTGAGCCACAGATTTATTATTAAACTAAATTAAGACATAAAATTTTAATTTTTAATTAGCATTAATTTATTTAATAAATGTACTTATTTGGTAAATATATTTATTATAATTTTAACGATGATGAAAATTATTACTAATTATTAAATTCAATAGCTTTAAATTCAATTAAATTCTAAATAGCTTCCTCGGTTTGATACAAAAGAACGACCTTCAATGAGAATCCACTTCTAAATTCACTTTCATTCTTCCATTGTTCATTTGTCCCGTTCAGAGAAACTTTGATTAGAGAACACAAAGCCTGTATGCACTATGAAAACTCTCTCAATTGGTCATTACTCTCCAAACAATGGCAAATTCTATTATGTTATGATAGTTAAATTTTAACTTATTTTTGAAAAAAGTTTAGACTTTCTCCCTAACTAAACAAAATATCCCAAAACTAAAATTAAAGGAAGCAATAAAGTAAACTAAAATAAAGTAAATCAATGTTCTATTCCATCCTTTATGTATCAACATCTCAATCTCAAATATAATGCATAATTTTATCTATTTGATGAGAATATTGCTTCAAGTATCCTACAAACTGATCATACATTCATCTAACAATGCATTCTGTATAAGGTTCGACAAGAGTTTCTACAATTTTATGCACTCCTCTAACAAATGGAAATGCAAAAATTCTTCTTATATGACACATTTTGTTATTTATCTCTGTATTCATCATTTTTTTCATAGTTTAGCAGATGAACTATTAGATAAATTTTATAATGAATTACATGGGATCTTTCAAAAAGAAAGTTACCATTTTAAATTATCATAACTATGTTAATTATTATCCAAGAATTATGCATTGATAGAGTAACCATCCAAGTTTCGTCTCCTGTCTGCATTCAAACGTCTCATTGGCAACTATCTTAGGGAACCCAGGAAAGTCAGGCATTTTCTCTTTTAAAAACAAAGTAGCAGGTTATTTCGGGGAGTTGCATCCTAGTATAGAACACCTTAAACAAAAAAGGTGACTCTGAAGCATTTTGCATTCTGAAGTCCACAAAGGTTGTCATTGTGTAACAGGAATGTTTTGCCTTACATAAGGTGAAACATTCCTGTTGCACAATCACTGGATCACTTTCATATTGTCTGCGAAGCTAAAAAAAATCATTGAGAATCATGTTAAACAATAATGAATGGTTTCAACTTTGTGAACTGTGGAACACAAAATGCTTTATCTGTTGCAGAGTCACCATTTTAGTTCAAGGCACTTCCTACAGGAAACAGACAAAGATGATGTTTGTACACAGACAATAGACAAAACTTTGACAGTTATTCTATCAATTGGTGTATGTTAGATATTTCTCGGATAATAATTAACATGATTATAATGTCTTCCACATCATTTATCATCATATAACACACACAGACAATTCAGTGAATGTCTTTGATTCATGTTGTCTCTTGGGCAAAATGCTTATTATTGTTGCATTAAAAAACTAGAGACTATAATTTTTCATGTTTGTTTTATACTTATATTTTTCATACTGGTTGTTAAAAATGCTACGGTAATTAATTTTTCAATATGTACTAAACTTAATGAAAATTTTTATCCATTTTATATGTAATTATATATGTATGGCTGACTGACATATATATGTATTTATGTATGTATGTATCAGTATGTTGTACCGTTTCAAAGCATAAAAGAATCAATGGCCAAAGATAATGTAACATCTATACAAAAGATTCAAAAAATATGAAACTAGTAGTAAATATACTGTAGCTATTTTTAAATGGACTAATCAGTGTACCTTTAACAATGGAATTTTTAAAAGAATGCTAACAAATGGTACGTTCTTTAAAAATCCTACTGTTAAAAGTGCAGTAATTAGTTGGGCAAAGTTATTACAGTGGCTGGTAAATCATCTTTACTATTTATAGAGTAATACACACAGTCTTGGCAATTAAAAATAAGAAAAAACTATTTTTATATAAAACTTTCTGCAGAATTCTTTCTCAATCTCGCAGAAATCGGTATTCACGAAACACATTTTGTCAAATCACCTTATTAATCGACAAACTGAAATGTATAATTTTTATTAGTAGATTTGCTCTAGAAATTGCAAACTTTTCAACACATCCAAGATGTAAGATGCGTTGTTTAATAATTTCTAATGTTCTAGCATTTGCTGAAGCAAGATTGAAGCCAAAAATTCTTCCTTGGATAGGCTTCTAACAGATGCTTGGATGTATCATCAATTATAAAGAAAATTGATAACTGTCTTTATAAATTACAAATTGTATATGGGGACTTATCTTATAGACTGTCATGTATTTGAACAACAGACTTAAAAACTACAAGGAACTAAAAACAAACCTTCTCCTGACAGCCAAATTTTGTTTCTTCTATTAGGTGTTGCAGCCTATTACAGAATTCTTAATTAAGAGTCATAATCAGTGTACTGTACTGTGATTGCACAAAATGGACAATTTCAAGCAGCATCATAAACGCATGAAATTTTGCTTTTAAATTGGGGATAACAGGCACAGAGACTGTTGAAATGGTTGAGAAAACTTTAAAGAATATGTTGTAACACATTCAAAGATTTATGAGTGGTATAACAGATTTAAAAGCAATCGATTGTTGTTCAATTTTATTATGTTTTTAAATTAAATACAGAGTATAAAATACAAATTCCAAAACTGTTTATTTTGGACATTGACCACAAAAAAATTTGAAAATATGCATACATATGTATACTATCGTTTTCTGTCAGAAATATTAAAAAATCTTTGATACATTGAGTGAAAAAAGAAAGCATAAATAACAGCATTGATTTACATTAGACTGAACAGCATAGTACCAAAGCTTTCAATATTAGATTGAGTGTATGCAGTCGGCTGCAACAACCATTTTGTAAGCAAAGCCAATTTCTAATTGATACCGTTTTCTTACAAAGCCATTATATGCATGAAAAATTATGCATATCAAAACAACCAAAGAAACAAGGATATTATAGCTAAGCATATATTTAGAAGAATTTGCACAATGTTATTTAAATTCAAATTTCTGATGGCAAATCAGTAGAAACAAATCCAAGTTTGAATATAGTTAATCGGAGTCTCCAACCTCTAAGCTTTTCATAAGTGGTCTCAATTTTCATCTATCTAATCCCATTCTCGAGATTAACAAAGGACAGAGAGATGATAGTGGAAACATATAGGTCTGCAATTTGAAAACTGCAGCCCAATAAGACATCAAGTAATTTGTCAAGACATACACTAATTGAAGAATTTAATAAATTATTCTACTGAACTGCAATCTTCTAGATACAAAAGCAAATAAATGGAAGGTTGCTAGTAAGTTTCCAAACAAACAATCTGCCAAATTACTTTCTAATCACTAAATCAACCATATAATAGCCCAACAACTTGAGAGATTGTTTGGTTTAGAGTTGTTGATGTATACAAATTGCGCAATCCTTCAGAAAGGTCCACCATCGAAATTTTCGAGATTTTGAGAACAATACTAAATATCGAGTATTCTTTACTTCTTTAAAGAATTGTCAACAAAGAAAGTCGTTTTCCTGGAACACTTGCATACATAAGTCAGGATGAAATATATTTTCCATAATTGAAAAAAAAAAATCTTTGAGAGATGATGTATAGAAAAAAAGCAAAATTGCTAGAGTAGGTTTTGCCACCAAAACCACTAGAAAACAGGGAAAGGTCACTAAAGCTTCTAGCAAACCCTCAGAACAAAAATAACAATAAATTCAGATCACCTCGTCACTTCATTAAACGTTTAGCTCAGAAGAGAAAGATTAGTGTTAGAAAATTTCTCAATTTCTCTAATTAGTTTAGTTATTATATTACTTTGTTTATTTTATATTTTAAGCCATTAGGATATTTTATTTACATATTTATAACTATGACTGAAAATTAATAAATGTTTAGTTTCAGTGTATTATTCTACTTTGATTTTAACTAAATTTTATTAATTTAATTTGTATTATTTTTGATGTTTTATAATGCTCTCTCCAAAAATTCTGATTTTAATCCTTCAATTAAGAATTTAAACTAGATTTAGTAGAATTTTTATGACAAGTACATGGAAACAACAGAAATCTGGCACTTGAATCTTTCATAAGTATTTTTGCATGTTTTAATAAAGTAGCTTACATATTTAAAAATTGGAAATAAAAGAATTACAAATAAAGTAATTTAAGTTTCAATTATATTTTGTATTTATATATTATGAATTATTTCACTTTTCAGTTATTTTACAGAGTTTAATTTATCTGCATTTAGTATTCTTCTATTCTGAATCAAACAAATTAGTTTAATTTATTATAATTTTAATCTTAAATTTTTATTTAAATTAATAGTATCATATTAATACACTAATTTTCAGTCTATGACAAAGTATCTTTCTTATAGTTTATTTATTATTTCATTGTAGAACTAAATCGAATTCATTTATTTTTATTCCTTCTGGAGTTGATTTTAAATTACTTTCTTCATATAATAGTTAAAATAATACACTGTTTTTCATAAATTCTTTGCTTGATTTGATATGTCAATGTATGGCACTGACATCCTAAGGGTTGCCCAGTTTTAATTTTGCACCATTGTGGTAGATATGACAATCAATCTAACTAATATGCGTGAAAGATGTTAATAAAATTACCCATAAAAACAAATCATAAGAATCTAGATTAGATTTGGATTCAAATTCTTCACAATAATGGGACAGTATCTTGCCACACAGCCATCAAATCAATAATTTCTTTTTTTTTTCTGCTGTATTAATGTTGAGAAAATTTATTATTTAATTGTATTATTTTTATTGCATGTTAAGCTATGTTAATCAGATAATTTTTAATAATTGCAAGTGCACATGATAGCTTGATTTATTCATAAAAAAACCTCCTCTCTTGATAAAAAAAGCACAAATAATTGTTAATATTTTTATTTAATTTAACCTTTATTTATGTGAGATTTTCATTTCCGAATTTAAATAAATGTAACTACAAAGATTAGTCAAATTAAATCATTATTTAGTTAAAATTATGAGTATATTAATCAACTATGTTACATTATGTTAAATAAGAAACATGTTTTAATAATATTAAATAAAAGATTTTTAAAATATTTTACTAAATAACTCTATACCTTGAGTGATTTATTTAATCCTTTTCTAAAACCATTGGTCACTGGAAGCTTCAATGTGGTTAGTGTAAGAAAAAAATGTACCCATGCATAGTCAGCAGAAATAAACCATGCAAATAAAGAAGCAACAAGCAAGGTAAAAAAAAAGATGAAAATAAATAAATTAATAATAGTGAGAGTAAATAAAAAAAAAANATAAAAAATTGCAAAGTAGGAACCCTACTTAAAGGAAGATGTAAGAATTTATACCAAAAAAAAGCATTTTATAGTCATAACAAATATGCAAAATAGAATTAATGAATAGAATTTTCAAAATATTTCATTCAAAATATCTTCTAATGCCGTTATATTCAAAAGAACACACTCATCTATAATTGAGAAAAAATTCAAATGTACAATGAAACTTGGTTTTGTAAGTCTCTCCTCAGAATAACTTCAGAATATCAAATTACTTTTGAAAATTTTATAACAGAATTGATTTTCAGGTAAATTAAAAAAAAAATAAATATGAATAAGCAAGTTTTGAGAACACTTCATTGAAATAATTCAAAGATATTTATTTATTTATTTTTCTCTAAACTAAGGATTTTGCATTTATTTAATAAAATGTAAAGTAAATAATAAGCAGTTATATAAATAGAAATAGAAGTAATTTCTTGAGGTATTAGTTTCAAGAAATCTTATTTTTTTTTCGAAGAAAATACTNAAGCTTCAATGTGGTTAGTGTAAGAAAAAAATGTACCCATGCATAGTCAGCAGAAATAAACCATGCAAATAAAGAAGCAACAAGCAAGGTAAAAAAAAAGATGAAAATAAATAAATTAATAATAGTGAGAGTAAATAAAAAAAAAAGAAAAATAAAAACCAAACTCCAAAATATATAAGTATTGAAAGATAATTTAAAATATAATAAAAAATAAACTGCATTTACTAGAAACAAATTAATTCGTTCAAACATTTACAATTTTTCTCTATAAAAATGATGAAATTACTCACCCTAATGGCAGTTAAAAGTATATTTATAGCTTCTTTGATGCGTGGATGGGAAGTCTTGTGCAACAGTTCTTCATATATGAAAATACCTAATGAACTAATAGCTATGCATCTAAAATAACAGAATACGTTTTATTAATAAATGTTTTCTAAAATTAAAGTATTGAGTTTTATAAAGGTAAGTCATAATGCCAATTATTTTTTTATATAAATTAAATGCATATATACTATGTAAGAATTACCTTGCGAGACCTGCCGGTTCTCGTTTTCCTGATCTAAGCAAAATACTTATAACATGTTCCTAAGAAATAAAATTATATCAGATTAATATTTATACTTATAAACACACATCTTAAGAACTTAATTTAAGAATATTTACAGTTAAATTAATATAAAAATTCCAATTGCAAAAGTATATTCCTTAGTTACTTATTTTTAACAAATATACTCAAATATCATATATTATAGTCTAATAATTTGGCAATTTATTTAGCTTTAACTATAAATTGGGCCGATTTAATGTTCATATATACTTAATATATAAATATGAAGATAACATTCAGTATTATTATTAAAACTATAAATTCCATTCAAAATTAATTCTGTTTGTTTATTTAAAACTTACTTTTACATCTGTACAATTCATGCAAACTAGATCTGTCGGAGAAGGCTGAAGAACGGGCATATCACCGAATGCATTAGGAAAACACAAGAGTGAACCTAAAATTGATAAAGCTTCAGTACGTGGAACCTAAACAAGTAAGGAAATTATTCAGATTAATGCAAAACAAAACAAGAACAACTTAAAAAAATTATACTCACTCCTTTCACTTCGTTAGAAGATGCAATCGTATTAGCCGCAAATATTAAATCTAATAATAGTAACGTACATCCCGGCAATCCTACTGCAAATATTTTTGGACCGCAATATTTTACAATAGTGTTTATAATTTCCTGAAACAAAACATTTTAAAATAATATTTTAATTAAGATTACTTTAATAATCATCGTGTGTTAACGATAATTACTCTGTAAATGTACTCCTAGAATGTACAGTACAAAAAAAAGTGAGCAAAAAAAAAGGGCATGCTATAATCGAACCAAAGCAAGATGTAAACTCTACAATTCAAGCACGAAAGTTGAAGCCAGGCATATTATTTAATACAGCAGACTGATTTCACGACACTATGTTGCTATAACAAGTATAATAGAAGCTCAACGCTGCGAAACTGAATTCAATGGGACATATCATCGCTAAACGGAGCACACCCAAATAAATTACCAACATACATCATCTCAATCTGCATAAAGGAATAGAACGCATTCATATTTATTGATGACCAGTTTTTTTTTCTTAGGCTTTTTTGCATCTAGTTTTTGCAAGCGAGGCTCAACACAGGGATGAAACCATATACCATGCATACAATTCAGGCACAAATACAAACAACAATACAACAATATAAATGAGTTTCTAATATAATATAATATTTTAGAAACACATTGGATATGACACGCTGCAAATATGAAAATGGAAAAATTTACAATTAATGTAAATCGTAAATTCTCCGAAGACATTAAAATTCATGCAATACGAACATAAAAATTTCATGGAGTTATTTTAATATATTATATATGCAAAGGTAGTAGTGTTGCAAATTTTGTAGACAGCCTTATGCCATGTTTTCGTTCATTTAATACCAATCTTTAACACGAATGAATGATAAATTTTCGAATATATTATACAATATTCCTATAAACTTGATTAAAGAATTTATTAATAAAAACAAACGATTTAAATAATAAATTGTTATCTTATATTCGAGTTTTAGTATCTAAAATAAAAATTGCTTGACAATTACTTCTATCAAACAGTTTAGAAAACAAAACTAATCTTGTTATAATAAATATGAATTGATTNATTTCATTGTAGAACTAAATCGAATTCATTTATTTTTATTCCTTCTGGAGTTGATTTTAAATTACTTTCTTCATATAATAGTTAAAATAATACACTGTTTTTCATAAATTCTTTGCTTGATTTGATATGTCAATGTATGGCACTGACATCCTAAGGGTTGCCCAGTTTTAATTTTGCACCATTGTGGTAGATATGACAATCAATCTAACTAATATGCGTGAAAGATGTTAATAAAATTACCCATAAAAACAAATCATAAGAATCTAGATTAGATTTGGATTCAAATTCTTCACAATAATGGGACAGTATCTTGCCACACAGCCATCAAATCAATAATTTCTTTTTTTTTTCTGCTGTATTAATGTTGAGAAAATTTATTATTTAATTGTATTATTTTTATTGCATGTTAAGCTATGTTAATCAGATAATTTTTAATAATTGCAAGTGCACATGATAGCTTGATTTATTCATAAAAAAACCTCCTCTCTTGATAAAAAAAGCACAAATAATTGTTAATATTTTTATTTAATTTAACCTTTATTTATGTGAGATTTTCATTTCCGAATTTAAATAAATGTAACTACAAAGATTAGTCAAATTAAATCATTATTTAGTTAAAATTATGAGTATATTAATCAACTATGTTACATTATGTTAAATAAGAAACATGTTTTAATAATATTAAATAAAAGATTTTTAAAATATTTTACTAAATAACTCTATACCTTGAGTGATTTATTTAATCCTTTTCTAAAACCATTGGTCACTGGAAGCTTCAATGTGGTTAGTGTAAGAAAAAAATGTACCCATGCATAGTCAGCAGAAATAAACCATGCAAATAAAGAAGCAACAAGCAAGGTAAAAAAAAAGATGAAAATAAATAAATTAATAATAGTGAGAGTAAATAAAAAAAAAAGAAAAATAAAAACCAAACTCCAAAATATATAAGTATTGAAAGATAATTTAAAATATAATAAAAAATAAACTGCATTTACTAGAAACAAATTAATTCGTTCAAACATTTACAATTTTTCTCTATAAAAATGATGAAATTACTCACCCTAATGGCAGTTAAAAGTATATTTATAGCTTCTTTGATGCGTGGATGGGAAGTCTTGTGCAACAGTTCTTCATATATGAAAATACCTAATGAACTAATAGCTATGCATCTAAAATAACAGAATACGTTTTATTAATAAATGTTTTCTAAAATTAAAGTATTGAGTTTTATAAAGGTAAGTCATAATGCCAATTATTTTTTTATATAAATTAAATGCATATATACTATGTAAGAATTACCTTGCGAGACCTGCCGGTTCTCGTTTTCCTGATCTAAGCAAAATACTTATAACATGTTCCTAAGAAATAAAATTATATCAGATTAATATTTATACTTATAAACACACATCTTAAGAACTTAATTTAAGAATATTTACAGTTAAATTAATATAAAAATTCCAATTGCAAAAGTATATTCCTTAGTTACTTATTTTTAACAAATATACTCAAATATCATATATTATAGTCTAATAATTTGGCAATTTATTTAGCTTTAACTATAAATTGGGCCGATTTAATGTTCATATATACTTAATATATAAATATGAAGATAACATTCAGTATTATTATTAAAACTATAAATTCCATTCAAAATTAATTCTGTTTGTTTATTTAAAACTTACTTTTACATCTGTACAATTCATGCAAACTAGATCTGTCGGAGAAGGCTGAAGAACGGGCATATCACCGAATGCATTAGGAAAACACAAGAGTGAACCTAAAATTGATAAAGCTTCAGTACGTGGAACCTAAACAAGTAAGGAAATTATTCAGATTAATGCAAAACAAAACAAGAACAACTTAAAAAAATTATACTCACTCCTTTCACTTCGTTAGAAGATGCAATCGTATTAGCCGCAAATATTAAATCTAATAATAGTAACGTACATCCCGGCAATCCTACTGCAAATATTTTTGGACCGCAATATTTTACAATAGTGTTTATAATTTCCTGAAACAAAACATTTTAAAATAATATTTTAATTACAATACTTTCAAAAGATTGATGTTAATTAATCATTTTTCTAGAATATTAAGTTTAATAATAGAATAATTTCTCATATTGCATTTGTACAACAAATTAATTTCTTTTTACTTTCATATTTATCATACGTTTTATAATTATTGTCATATTATGTTAATAATAATGGAATATTGAAGTGTAGTGAAATATTATTAAAGATTATTATTATTAATATACAGGCAACTTTAATCAATGCAAAATTAGTTAACACTTCTTGTTACACATAATGGGAAACCAAACACTTCCCATTTTACACATAATGTAATTATTCAAACTTCTGGAAAACAAGTTAAAAATTCAAGTTTTATCAACAACTATTGTTTTGTTTGTTAAATACTTGTCTAATTTATCACTATTGCATATTTTTCCAATCATTTTTAACTAGTCAAGTCTCCAATTATGAGAAAATCTAACGGTAACAATCACAATTATGCAAATACATTGCAATCTTAAACGTGCTGAATGCAGTGTTACGTACAGTACAGTAGAGCACCAATTATCCGAATACTGATCAACTGAAACATCAGTTAACTGAATACGTTCCAGTTGGCAAATTCAAATTTCCGCTAGTGTTGTGGCACTGCAATATTTGGCTATGTCTTGGGCTACTCCAATATTATTTTTGTTAGTGTGCATGTTTTAGCTGGCAGCAATGGCATGACCATGAGAGGGTACAGTACTTAAGGATGTGCCAGTATTTGAACAAGGCTTTTTCTCCCCCCATTGTAATTGGTGAGTTTTGCTTGTTTTGTGTGGTGTTTTTCTGAGGATTGTATGTAGTGCCGAATTGGAACGTTTTTGATACTAGATTAACTTCTGAAATATAATTTTTTTTGTTTTTATATTTTTCAATATATTTATTTTGTTTGTGCAAAATAAAGAAATAGTTTAATGATACAATAGCCACAATTATTATTTTTTAAAATTTTTATTAGGCTTAACATAAATGAAAACTCAACGCAAAGCAACACGCAACGAAGAAAACTTTCAACATGGGATAGGTTAATATATTTTTTCGTACATGATCAGTTATCTGAACAACCCGTCCTGAATTGTTTCGGATAATTGATGCTCTACTGTAATAACATTAACACCTTAAGACATTTGTGATATGCCAATATATTTATACTTTTTTTGAATATTAATAACTATCAGTCTGTAATATAAACTATGTAGGTAATATATTTTTAAAATGATTCTTTTATATTTATTTACTGCATCTAATGAATCTAAGAAGCACCGACTCAATGTGATCAAAAGGCTTTAATTAAGCTTAACTATTTATTTATGATTATATTGTTCAGTATGCCAATAAAATTAAACTAAGGAAAATTTTCTGTAATATGTAACATAATTGAATAATTCTGAATTAGCAAAATGAGTGTATATTTTACTTATACTTAAAATACTTAAAGACCAAATTAAACAAAACCTGAGGTAGAAAATGATTAATTAGATATAAATATGGAAAAGTTTCTCTTTTCTTTTAATGTTTTAGCAATAAGAATCTTTACAAAATATATAATTATAAAGAATAAAGAGATATGCATATTTTAAAACTTAATTTATTATTTAAATAACTAAAATTATATTTTATTTTATATATATTATAAACGTGTCATTAATTTACCTGATTAGTTCCAACCAAGCCATAGTGAAGTGTCTTATAGAACTGAATGAGGTAATCTCTGGAGAAGGGTATATCTTGTCGTTGTAAAGTTAAAATGCACAACAATTTGTAAGCAAGAATTTTACCTTGATGATATTCATCCGGTAAATTAATTGCCTGTAATAAATGTAATTTTCTTTACCATCTGGATTTAATTATTGTATTTATTAACTATAAAATGCAATAAGATTTAATGTATGTATTGGTAAACCCAATGAATTATAAATAAATGAAATATTTTCAGTTAAATAAAAAAGAAATAGCATCTGGAATACATTTGCATTAAGATTTATTTATGTAGATTTGCTAATTTAAATAAAAAAAATTTAATCATAATTGTAAACGAGTACAATCAATCACCTAATATAATAAAAGTAACAGATCTTACTTTACCTGAAACAACCAGGATGTAATAATATGTAGAGGAGGAACAAATTCAGACGGCGGAGGGCTACTCTGATTATCAACAGTCACTCCGAGATTATTTCTTATCTAAAATAATATAAACATTTTGCTATTTAAATTAGAAAAATAAACTAAAAACTGTCTGAAATTAATTATATACCTTTATTAACAAATCAGATAATTCAACAAGATATTCCATAACTTGAGCATGGATAACAGGATCAATAATTTTATTTATATCTCCTAAGGCACCGAGCATGCGCCTCCACAGTACGACGGCAACGTCTGGTAACCAACCGCGTCCCGTTCCTCCGGCCATCACGCTCTTCGGTTCCAAAATGTTTCCAACCTCTAAAATAGATTTTACTGTTTTAAAATTTTGACAATTATTTCTGATGTAGTTACAAATCAACACATTTACAAATTATACAAATTTTTCTAACAATTATCGATTTATTTATTAATTTAAAACATTAAAATATAAAATTTACATTCATTTTCATTTATTCATTCATTATGTTTTGTTTGACAGAGTCCATTTTTCATGTGTATTTAGTTTGTGTTGTGTATAAATATTATAGCTAACATCTCTAACTCAATCTCTTACATATAACATAAGGTAATACATTTTTTTTATTAATAGTTAACTTTAATAATTATAATGTTCATTTTTTAGTTAAAATTATTTTAGAAAAAAAATTAAAACCATAAAAGCACACAATGGATAAACTTATTAGTAAACGAGAATATGATTCTAGGCAAAATATAAATAGAGCAAGTATAAGTGGAAGCAGTACAATGAAATCGCAGCAAATACGTCTCATACAGAAGACAAAATTATACTTCTGCAAATATTGTCTATTAATTTTTCTTATTTTATTAATATTTAAGTTTCAATTTTACATGAACCAATGAGGAAGAATGTCGCATTCCACAATGTCTTGTATGTGGAGAAAAACTGTCCAGTAATGCAACAGTTCTTGCTAAGTTGAAACTTCATCTTACTGCAATTCCAATTTTGCTTCAAAACTAAAGATTATTTCAAAAGATTGTTGGACATGCAAGCTAAACAAGTAAAATATTTTAAAAAACTGTTAAAATTTTCAATAAGGCAATCAACTCAAATTATATAAAGTAACTGAATTAATTACTATAAAGTTAAAACCATGTACAGTTCTAGCACAGGATCTCTTATTTTACCTGTATGTTGTGAAATAGTAAGAATTATATTTGGCAATGAAGCAAAATAAAAAATTATGAAAATTCTTTATTCAAACAATATAATAAAAAAGTGTGTCAAATTATATTGTGAAAACAGTTAACTTTCCAAACATTTTGCTTTACAAATTGACTAGTCCATTGACATTAGCAGTAAAGTTAATATACTTGGATTCATTCATTTCATTAGTGAAAACAAAGTAGGAATTAATTTCTATGCCACAGAGAACTTACCAAATGTATGGCAGAATAAGATATTTTCAACTACTATGTCATATTTTGAAAAATTTAATATATCAGGAAACGGCATATTAAATAGGAATAATACCATTATAATAGAACATTTAATATTATTAGAAAAAAGGCTTACAAGTTACTTCCTTACCTAAAGTTTAGAAAATCACAACTGGATACAAAATTTGCAGTTAGTACACCAAATTGTGAATTATACAAGAAGAACAATTCGTTATTTTGTCAATAGTACTTTAAAATGGAAAATCTCTGAAATAACTCTTGAGGAATTCTAGATGTTTGTCCAGGTCAAATATTCATCTCTCTCCACAAGAGCATTGAAAATTTTGTTACAGTTTTCAACATCGTATTTGTATGAGCTCAGTTTCTCAACATTAACCAATATAAAAACTAAATACCAGAAAAGATTTACTAAAATACATGAAAACAAGAAAAATTATTATTCCATTCATTCAAGTTGAGATCTCATGCACCTTTTATAATATATCAAATGTACATAAAAACTATCTGCACTATCTCAACAAATTAAACAGACCCATTTGAAAATTTAGATTATTTGAAATATTGATAACACTTTCAAAAAATGTTTATGACAAACTACATTTTCTCCTGCTACTCTTTGGACACTATATAATATATATAATATTTTTTTCAAAAATGCCTTTGGAAAATAAAGTGTCTTATACACTGGTGCATCATATACATCAGCAAATACAGTAACTTAATAGTTGTAGTATACTCACTACAGAGAATGAAATTAATTTAGTGTTACATATTCATTTTGCGTAAATTTTTATAAATGATAAAAATAAAAACTTCGTCTTATATGCGAGTAAATATGGTATAATATTTACTCGCATATATACACATATAATATGGTATAATATTTACTCGCATATAAGGCGAAGTTTTTATTCATTTATCACAGCTTCAAATTCCTAGATTGTCCTATATGCGCAAGCAAAAGATTCTTTGCATTTTTTGCAAATAATTTTTGTGAACCGTGTATTCACATTTTTTACCGGATGCCCACCCTCTGGTGTTTAAAAACATAAGTATTTTATCTGAGTCATTTGAATCGTTCTTGTATACTGTCAGGAGTAAAGATGAATAGCAATAGGAAAAGCAAAGCTTTTGAATTGAATTCCAGATTGAAATTTCAAAATCACATAAGAGCACAATATAAGTTTTATCCATTCCCACATGAAAACAGATGATTATTTGGAGAAACTCATGAGCCTGATCAATGGAGAGTGGATTTGACTGTTAAGAATTGGCAAAAGAAGGTTCCAGATTGTCCAGCTTCACATTAACAAATAAAGTTGTCAATTTTACCAGATTTTTCCTTAAAGTTTAAAATGCCAGTAATTTTTGCAAGACAATATGTGAATTTACATTCATATGATATTTTACTTGTGATTAAACAAAATAAAATTAGAATTGTGTTAATAAATCTAATTTTCTGTATTTTGATCTTTAAAGTCCCACCTCGTCTTATATGCAAGTAAATATGGTATATAATTATTTTAAATGTTTTTGAATTTGAAAAATGTCACAAAATATTAAACCTAAAAGTATGTTAACCTACCTTTCTTCCTCTTTTCAGATAGACCTAATGAAAACATATTATTTTATTCTAATCCTATCTACAATGTGACAATGAATTACAATATTAATTAAAATTAAAGTCACAAACACACATTAGAAATTTAGGAAATTTGTAATTTTCAAATTTTAAATTAAAAATGTAGTATATCATTTTGCAGCATTACCAGAAGTATTACAGGAATTCTCTGAACTGTTAACCATCACTTCAATTTGCATTGGGGAATCTTTAATGCTTGTATTTTCTAATCCGCTGGACGGAGTCGGAGATGGAGATCTACTTCTAAATTCTGATGATTCGGACAGACATGGTGATTCGGCTATAAAACAATTTGTTTTGTTACATGTTTAACTGCATATAAAATATTTAATAGCAAATTTTATTTACCTCTCTGCGATAAATAATCAAGCGACTTGCTTTTTGTACAATGGTAAATACCCTTTGGTGAGCAATGTTCTTGAATATAATCTTCTGCCGAAGCAAGTATTCTAAAAACTTCATCTTCCATACCAGCTGGAATTCCTGTTATTGCTATTATACAGAAATTTCAATTTAAAATTAAATTCTTATAATTTAACATTAACGAAGATAATTCTTATTATTTTTTATATAAAAATAATCATTTATACAAAATGCATACATGAATCTAATGATTAAAAACAGAAAATCCACTTACATGGAACAAAATATGTACGAAGTTGATTTTGTGAAGCTGATGAAGAATCATGAGATGAATAATGACGTTTTTCTATAAGAAAAAAAATAATAACCCTTCTTTTAATTTAACTAATTTTTTAAAATATTTTTAGATACTATTTTTGTGAAATTTAACAAATTTTTAATGACATAAATGGTTTTCAGTCCACTTAAGTAATAATTTTTATCCTTCATCATAATACTAGATTAGAAACTTTTCGTAATTTAATTATAACACAATGTACACAATTACATTAACTAAATTTTAAAAAATATAAGGATTATATAACACACTTTTTCTATATGCTAAATGACTATCACTTGCACTCCTAGAAATTGTTGTTCGATCAGAAGGTGAAGTACTACATTTTCTGATGTCTCCACTTCCAGATCTTGTTCTTGTTACTCCAGATGAACTAAAATTTTCTAAAAATAAAACTTCATGATTTTATTCAATTTTGAATAATAACAATTGTCATAAATTCAGTATAATGAACATTTATTAAAAAGAATTTACCCTGAATATCGGAGCTGGAAGCATCATCAAGTGCAGTAGAAGGTAATGGAGTAGTCAGCTTTTCTTCTTTTTTAGTGACAACGTTATTCGAAGCTTTACTTGATTCCAATTTATTGAAAGTAGATCTCTTCCCACTTGCTGAAGTTGGTACATTTTTAATTCCTCTTCTCTTCTTTTGCTTTTGTTCGCTTAATCTTTGCAGAGGAAGATCATTTAAATCAAGGTTATACACATGTCTAGCTAGCACACGAGTTAGAGTTTCCATGGTTTTCTGAAATTAAAAGTATTTAATCATTAACCTGTCCTACGTTGTCCCAAAAATATTTGTGTTTACCTCATTGACCTATGTGGGCGATCCTGAATATTTTCGTGTTTACATCGGAGCATTTTTGATACTAGATGTCGCTATGTGTCACAATTTTTATATTAAAACGAACTTTTAAAATATAATTTTTTTGTTTCTATATTATTCAATATATTTATTTTGTTTGTGAAACATAAAAAAATAATTTTTTACGATACAGTAAATACGATTATTATTTAAAAAAAAAATTTTAGGTTTAACATCCACAAAAATTCAACATGGTGTCACAGGCTAAAAATAAAAATTTCAACATAGAATAGGTTAATAGGATATATGGAGTGATATGTTGCCATGATTCTATTATTTTAAAAGTTTCGTGTAATTTTGCTAAGCATTTGGGGGGAATGTAGGTATTCATCACTGTGATTAATTTGTTGTTTATATTTCCAAGTATGAGTATTATTAGTAGAGATTAATAGTAGTATGAAGTTATCAGATTTTTTAACTTGGATTATTTTACCGGGATCCTTTTTAATTAAAATACATAGACCACCACTTGGATGTCCTAGACCCAGTGACTTGCTTGCCAATAGGGTTTCTGGTATAAATTCATTGAAAAAATTTGATTTATAAAACAGGTCAGATGTTATCCACATTTCAGTTATACTGATTATATCTGATTTAAATTTTGATTGAAGGGAGTTGAATAGTAGTAATGTGTATTTGAGACCTNTAATTTAGTCAAACTGTTATGTAAAGTACATAGTACAGAATTTTATATTCATCAATAATCCAAAAAAAAATACATAAATTATTTGATTAATATAATTAATTCAATATCAACTTACTGCCCACTCTTTAATTAATTCTTCCCACTGTGTTAATGACGACAAAACAGATAGAAACTGATCCCAAAGATCCGACGAAATGATAACATTAAGATTAGCTTTTATCCAAGTAACAATCAATGTCTGTAAAATAAAAATTTGTCACTATATTGAAAAAATTTACCACATGTCTAAATTGAAGTAAGTTTGAATATAAATTTAAATGCAAATGAAATGGCTGTTTCTTAAAATTTAAACTTCCCATCCTTGTAGTTCAACTTGTTTCCACATGAACAGCACCATAGGTGTGCAATTGGAATCATACATATATCATATGTGAATTTACCAATATCATCTCATTTATATTATGAGTTCCACATGTTTAATAGTAGTTTTTCTAATGGCATGGAAACAAAATAAAATAGAATAATTTTCTTTGTACAAGTATAAGATAGAACAAAATGCAGCCAAGGCAATCTGAAATGCTAATAAAGCTTATGGTGAATGTTCTGTAAGCATATCACCCAGCATTGGCTCAAAAAATTTTATTCCAGGAATACAAATATCGAAAATTTGCCTCAAAGATATGTATATCTATCATCAACATTTTGAAGAACACTGTTGAATCAGAACTTCACCCAACTGTTCAGGAAATTGCAGAAAGGTTAAATGTATATTATTCAACCATTTCTTGACATCCAGATGCATTAGTGAAAGTCAAGCTCAGCAAATAGATAACACACAAACTCGGTGAGAGAGGCAAAGAGCATTGTTTGGGGTCTGCAGTTCTTTAATTATTTGTCACAAAAATGAAAGTATTCAAATGAAATTCTTCCTTGTCCACCTTATTCTCTAAACCCTTTTGACAACAAATTAATTTTTTAGCATTTGGGTAGTTTTTGGTAGGGAAAGTCTTCAAAGATGAGAATGCAATAAAAAGTGACTTTAATGATTTTTGGAATCTTGATCTCGTGATTTCTATTGCATTAGGAGAAGTGAATAAACATTGGTGGAGATTATTCACTTCACTATGAAAACTAACATATTCTGATTGAATATGTTAGTTTTAAATTAAATAAATGTTTAAAGTCATAAATAAAAATTGGCCATTTATTTGCAACAACTTAATACTTCATAAATTCTAAATCACATATTAGAGAAATTTATATAATAATAAATAAATAAACATTGTATACATACTCTACATACATACATATACAAACCATGTGTTTGTATACGTATACATATATACAAGGTGTTCACTTTAACATTTATCCAGATATAAAAGAGAAGTTTCCAGGGTTGCATAAATATATGAATATCATGCATTAGTTCCAGTGCAATGCTTACAATAAAATAAATTATAGTAATCGTTCAAAAAGGGATATATTAAACTACACAGTATTTCCACAGAAATATATGCATATATATTCCAAATGTAAGAACATGACAATTAAAAATGTAATCTTGATAATGTGGCAACACATAACGCCAATGTCCTTATAAAAGAGCCATCCTCATGCAATCTGCTAATCAATAAAATAATATGACAATGTCTTATACTCAAAAGCACTATTATGAAATGATTACAGTGTCACAACTGTACAAGTATCACGTATAACTGTGCAATGCTGGAAAAATCTCGTGTTCCTAAATAAATGTTAAAGTAAACACTCTGCGTGTGTTTATATACATGTTGAAAGTAATATGGTTCATGTTTATTACATACTTGAAAAAGTGCTGGAGCCAGTCTTCCACCCAAACTGTCTTTTCTAATAGGAGGTCTTTCTTTCAAAACGAGAGAAGTTATCTGCAACAAAACTAATAGTAATTGTTCCCTGTAAGAAGAAAAAGGATATTAACAATAAATCATGTTCTTAAACAAAATTTTTACATGTATTTTTATAGAAAATAAAATAACTTGTAAAAATTTCACTTGATAGAAATTATTTCATGCCATTTAACAACAGATCAACAATTTTAGATACTACACAAAACACAAATTTGGCTGAATATGAGGAAAATAACAAATAAATATAATACCAAAACAATAGTTATCAATAAATTAAAATATGTCATTACTATAATTATTTTTCATTTTTTTAATAAAAAAGTTATCATAGCATTAACAAATATTGACATTCAAAAAACTTACCATGTCTTTTTCTCCATTTGAACATTCATTACCATAAAGCGATAGATATTCAAAACTCTTTTACACATATCAACCTAAAATAAAAACTTACATTTGTTAATGAGAATAGACTGCTTTATTTTAATTCAATAGTTATTTAATTATTAAAAATAACTTCTAAATGTTATATTTTCCCAATCTCAATTAATATTAGTTAACAATTAAATGGTCTAACCCTGGATATTAAAACTGAGTTAACGGTGCCATACTTTCATGTATAAAATAAACTGTTACTAAACAGAACAAAAGATTCCTAGGGTTCCGATTAAGTACTGACAGAAAGTTGAGATATTTTGCTTTAAAGTAAAATATCTCAACTTTAAATAAAGGGAGGTTAGACCACTGTTAGACTTAGCCTTTCAATTAAATATGTACAAAAAACTAGTCTATATATTTGAAAAGAAACAAAAACATATTAAAATTGACAACTAATTTATAACTACATTAATAAAAATTATTTGTAATAAGTACCTGTTCATCTAAAAGTAAATCTTTTTCCGGTGATATCTCTAACAAAAACACATTTGCAGCATTAATGATAAAAACTTGAAGTGTATTCTGTAAACCAGCACGAAGATCACTTAAAATTGCTTTAATGTAAGAATCTTTTCTTAATCTTGCAAATGAAATGGACGTCATTTCACTTTCATCCTAAGAAATATAATTAAACGATTATACACATTACAATCTTTATAATCTTTTTAATTTAATTAATGCACAACAACAATTAGAATTATTATAAATGTCAATATAAAAAAACAAAAGTTCATATTTTTATAATAAATAAACTAATAAAAAATAATTTAAACTTTTAATTTTTTTTTAAAAACTCTTCCATCGTGTGGGTACTAAAACAGCCAGTTCTTCAAATAGTTATAGTGAATTTGGCCAGGCCCACCATGGCACACCCAGATGGTAAGGGAGCAAGCCTGATACATGAAAAAATTCCTGGATGGTTTATATACCCAAATTCAATCCCAGATCTCCAAGAACAGGTAGTCTGGGAGATCTGGGATTAAATTTAACTGCTTTGCCTTAACTGCTTCAGCCATCTTTACTATAGTAAACATTATTAAAAGATATACTAACTGCTTAGGGACAAACATATAATAAAAGAGTGCAAAGATAAGTAATGTCAATTAAAATTTTCAATATACGATAAAATGCCTCACCAAGAAAACTGCATTAACTCACTGTCTACAGGCCCTTGGTACAGTATATACAGTTTTCCATAAAACAATACAGTCTCGATAAGTCAAAATTTCCTATACTTTTAATGCAAACCTATTTTCCTATTTATCCTCCACAACTTTGACATCTCATTCATTTTCTCTTATATTCCAATATGCACATTTTTTTTTTGTTATAATTTAAAAGATATTATTGAAATGAAAGTAATCTGAATCTACACTTAGATCTAAAGCATTCCTTAATAGAATCTGATGTATCAGAATATTTCTATTAAGCATAAATACATTGAAAATTGGTTTAACTTTGTTTTAAGTACTTGCATGAATCACTTTTCATTACAACAGGAACCTATTGAAAGTATTGAATAATAAAATATTAGAAATTTATACACTAATGGCATAAAAATCTCTCTGAAAATACCATTTATAGTTTAAAATTTTTTAATTATTTGACAGATTCTACATAACTCTGGCAATACATTGTACTTAAATTATATAAAGATAAAAATATTGAATCTATATTCATAGTAAGGAATCAAATTTTTAATGGGAAATAATGCACATATTACTATAGCTACAATACACTTTCCTATAATAGAAGCCTGACTAACTTGCATCCCCATATGCAAGTAAGAATCATTAGTGAGTGGCTTGCCAGCCCTTTTTGCCATCCACTAATCATTCTTACTTGCACTACATTCAATTAAAATATCTAGAAATGTAATGCTTGATCATACAATTAAAATCGGCACATTATTATGACCAGTGATAATTTCAATAAACTGTCTACATTTGAAGATTTTGAACACACGATAACCACATGTATGAAGTTTTAAATATAATTGTCACCAGAGGAACGTTAAAATAAAAATTTCAATATGTAATATGTTTGCAATTATCAGACATAAGAATTATACAGTGGTTCCTCATTATATTGCTCATTTAGTTACACAAACCAAAATGAATGACGTATCAGATGTGCAATATAACCAATGTAGCTATCCAGTTACTGACTAAAGTGCTTTTATATTTGGTAAACAAAAAAATAAAGCAATATATATATATATATATATCTAAATGAGCAATATAACAAGGAGCCGCCATACATCTTGCTTGTTGTTAAGATAAAGAATGTATGAAAATAGATTACTTCCACATTTCTCAGCTCTTTCTCTTCGATATATTCATCAGTATCGGGTTCATGCATAAATATGGGTAGTTCTGGAACCTATTAACGATACAATTTCATTATTGATTTATAAGATAAAATATGATTTTCTCTGATTAATTCTCAGGATCATTTTCTTGAGATTTAAAAATCAATGTTGGTTCCACTTTTAAATCCTACAGAAAAAAAGACAAATATTTGTTCATCAGATTAAAGTTTACAATATCTTGTTCATATATGAAGAAAGAAAGCATCATTACAGAGAATCGTCATGAAACAAACTGTCATAAAATAAAATACATAAATAGAAATTGTCTTGAAAAAATTATCACTTTGTATTAACATTTTTCACTTATAACTAAGGGCCAGATTTATATACACTGCTATATGCATGTTTAAAATGTCTGAAATATATGTTATCTATGTTAAAAGCACCATTAATACACAATAAAATCTGCAGGTTGAAGTGCGTGCATGTATGCATACATTAGTAAGATTTGCACAAAGACAGAAGTAATGTCTATTACAATACTCGTTTAAAGTGAGAGAGGATAAACATGCAACAATAGATGACACAATGGATTTGGAATTTACTGTATTTCTGCAGATTGACCAGCATGCCACTTATAAACAGGAGAGACCAGCATGCCAGTTAAACTACCACTAAAATATAAAATTAATCAGATATAACAAAACTAGTTGTTAACAAACATTTTAAAAAAATCATTTTTTCCAGTACAATAATACATGGTATATCATTGTAATTTGATTGACAACATCAGGAAGAAAGTTTTTGTTTACAAGACAATAAAACAATTAGCAACCTATTGACATTAATAGTAGTAATAGTGTAGCTACACTGACCATCCCACCCCAACCTTAAAAATAACACCCTCTCAAATTTCACACAAAGCCCATGTTAGTCCATGTAAGTTGAGATAATTTACAGTGAGTTTGTTAAATTTAATATGTTTATTTTTGCATTTTTGAATGGAATTACCATAAAAACAAAAAAGAACTTTCAGAATTCAGGAGTATTTTACATCATTTGAAAGAAGACAAAATGAAGAAATTAAACATATAATATAGTTTTTGATGTAATGCTGACAGTTTCATAGTTATAAAATAAAAAGTTGTTTGTTTTTTAATGCATCTCTAGAGCAGGTGTGGCCAAACTTTTATCCCTTAGGGGCTACTTTTTTGGTAAAATATAGTCTGCGGGCAACTATGAATATGGGCAAACAATTTTAGGATTTTATATCTACATGCATTAACATTCATTTGCATTTTTCATCAGGATAAATACAAACAGTATGGGTATGTTGCACAGACAGTCTATTATTGTAAGAATAAATTATTGAATTAACATTTTTAAACATTAATTTAAGTGAAAGCAAATTGTTCAACTTTAGCTTCGCAGGCTACTTTCAAAACATTTGCGGTCGACCACGGTCTACGTGTTGGCCATCCCTTCTTTTGAGGGATGTATAATCTCACTTAAACCAGCATGCCAGTTTTTACCATATCTGATTTCCTGGTCATTCTGCAAAAATATAGTATGATTTATTAGAATATCATTTTATGTAAGTGTGCAATCAAGTTAAATATGAATAAGCTAGCAGGTAAGCTCAGTGTTACCTGGGCAAAAAATATAAGTACAAACATTAAGATTATTAGATTATTTGATTTATATAACTAAAAAAGTAATCTTAAGTACGGGTTTATAACACCTTTTAAAAAAACTTTTTATTCTTCTACTATACACAGTTTAAAGAATTTTTATAATTTGTTAGATTGGTCACTGGGAGTGATAAACCTTTACTTAAGATAACCTTTGTAGTTACATAAATCAAATATTAAAATGAAAATCATATAAGCAGTTTGGTTATTTCAGCCTATCATTGTTATGTTTATCGCAATACTTGGGTGGTACAGAATGGCACAATTTCATCAGTCAAGTAGACACCAATTGAAAATATAATATCTTANTTTGTAGTGTCGATGAATTTCGTCATTGTTTCCTTTTGACTCTATCAATATAATCAAGTTTTTTTATTTATGTATCTTTGTATACACTTATTCCAATGTAAGATATACAATGAAGATGCACTATACAGAAAAAAAGGAAACATAGTACAGAATATGAAGAAAAACATAACTAAAAGATTACAGATTAATGATAAAAGTAATCAATAATAATCAATAAAATGTTGGAAAACACAAAAGTGAAGAAGATGACAAATTTTTAAAAAGTTTAACAGCATCAAAGGTATTAAATTTGATAATTAAAGCATGCTACTCCTGCAGTATCCCTGCTCATAATGGAAATGATTAATCTGTGCTGCAGTATCTCAGCAGACGTTTTCCTCATTCAAGATGACTATATCTGGGCTGAGAGGAACACCTTCCAACAGTGACTAGCATGCCAAGATGAAAGGTAGACAGACAATTCAACAGATATCATAAATCTTCAACAATTTTTCTTCTGAGTCCATATTTGTGCTTGAATTCTATTACTGTAATATATTACTATCCTAAGCAAAATACCTATAACTAAATTGTTTCACATTTAAAGATTTTATTCCCTTTGACTTCATATGACTTAACAGTTCATAAGAAAAATTATTGTCTCATATCATCATACACATAAAATTAAATATATCTCAGCAAAATGGACAATATGTCATCTTAAAAACATATATATATTTTTAACTCATGCATCCACCTGATATCATAACCATAGCAAGTGTTAAACATCCAAAGAAAAATTATGTTTATTTTTCTTTGGATGTTTGACACTTGTCTGTGATTGCCAAATATTATAAAATCCTCAATTCCAAACAATTAATGAGATTATTAATGAGATAACGCCTTTTTGCTTAGGACAGCAGTATAGACTTATGATGGACGAGATTTCCATCTCTTTCAGAGGACTTTGTTGATCCTGCTTCTCTCATGTCTTTGAATGTGTCATTGGTATTGACAGAGTGAGCTGCTAAGGCAATTCTTACCATCTCATTATAATTTCTATTGATTCTGATCCTCTATTAAAGAGTATAAAACAGAGATGGAAGAAACTGACAGCTGCAGATCAGACACTCTTGCCACTTCTGCCAGCTCCATACACAGCTTGATGTATTCTGTGGAGAGCAGGATCTGTGAAAAGATCTCAATATGTCTACTGACATTTGTGCATTTCTCTCAGAAACTGTTCACTTCTGGACACCAGTCCTCATAAACGTTTTTACTCTTCTTGTTGTAAGAAATCATCTCCCATCTTCTCACCTGATACAATCTATATAAAGTTTCAAAAACACAATCCAATATATAGCCATTTTCATTCAGAAAGATTGTTTAAAAATATACTACATGTTTGTGTTAGCTTCAAAAATAGTTCATCAATAATTTTAAATGATACAGCAATTCTTCACTTAATATCATTTTGGAACTTCTTGGAAAAAACCCAAGAAAAAGCACTGATATATCCTAAGAAAAACAAAAGGAAGTCCACTAAATGGAACATCTAGCAGGTTCAAAAACTACATATCGCTACTTTGGAAAAAAACCGGCATAACTCAAAAAAGTGTGATTTTTTGATTATGTCATAATCAAAACAAAAATGTAGTAAATTTTTATGTGGAAGAGTGTCACAAAAGTAACTTGCATATTCGGCCACTAGGGAGCAGTTATGTGGAAGATAAGTGATATTCAGTTAAACTTTGGTTAAATCTTTGCATGGGATTTTCTCAAAACTAGTAATTTTGAGTTGTGCTGGTTTTCTTCCAAAGTAGCAATATGTTTAGTTGTGACTATATACCCAGGGTGGCCAAGCTCCTTGATAGTCCGAGCCATTTTTCAAAATTTGAAATTTTTCGCGAGCCGCAATTAAATACGTATTAAAAAGGTATGCAAAAAATTCCAGATTACAAATTATATCCGTAGCAAGAGTAATACAAATTGTTTCCTCCAGAGCACAATGTCAACTGTCCATTGCAATGACAGTTTACAAATGCAAAATCGGTCTGGAGTCGGTCGATAACGGACGATTACGCCACTGTTTATGTTCGTTCGCACAGTTTTCGATGAGTCATATCATTCTTAACTTGGACGGAAATGAAATTTGTTACAACGTTGCACTTAGTCTTTTATATTTGTTGTTAATAATTTAAAAGACATTTTGAAACACATACGGAATGATGATAATGTTTTAAAATATAACAACACAAAAATGAAAAGGGAACTCAGGTACATTTATCGAGAGCCACAAATAATCGTTCAAAGAGCCACATGTGGCTCGTGAGCCGCAGGTTGGCCACCCCTGCTATATANAGAATATCATTTTATGTAAGTGTGCAATCAAGTTAAATATGAATAAGCTAGCAGGTAAGCTCAGTGTTACCTGGGCAAAAAATATAAGTACAAACATTAAGATTATTAGATTATTTGATTTATATAACTAAAAAAGTAATCTTAAGTACGGGTTTATAACACCTTTTAAAAAAACTTTTTATTCTTCTACTATACACAGTTTAAAGAATTTTTATAATTTGTTAGATTGGTCACTGGGAGTGATAAACCTTTACTTAAGATAACCTTTGTAGTTACATAAATCAAATATTAAAATGAAAATCATATAAGCAGTTTGGTTATTTCAGCCTATCATTGTTATGTTTATCGCAATACTTGGGTGGTACAGAATGGCACAATTTCATCAGTCAAGTAGACACCAATTGAAAATATAATATCTTATAAAAAATTTACGATATCATATTTTTTCCTAATGTTAACTCTAGGAAACTGGACCATTCACAGCCAAGTATCAAACGGTAATCTGCCAATGAATCAAATTTCTCAAAAAATGGACCAAATATTTAAATTTGGCACCCTTGAAAAACCACTTAAATCGTATTTTGTGCAGACTGGTAACCTTGTATTATGTAATTTTACTATTTGAACACCATCATACCAGTGGGTCTAATAGGAAGAAGGGGCTATTGCAGATGGAGGTTGAAGTTAATTTGACCATCACAACCTATCCAGTGTTGGATAGGTTGTGATGATCCCACACATGATCAAAGTTACTAACTTTAATGTCCAAAAGATTTGTTTACATAAAAAAATCTTGTAAAAATGTGAGAATAATTGATTTATGTGATCCTGTAAAAAACTGGTGAATCCAGGTTGAGAAAGTAAAGCTTAACAAAAGCATCTGAGTAAAGAAAACTTGAAACTTGTGGCATAAGCATACTGGAAGTAGATTTGACAGAAAGACTCAACATATGAATAAAGTGCACATTACATAGACTACAACTACAGGAAATTTTGAATGAAGCAATTTTGCCATGATAATAAATGGGAAAAATAAACATTGGCACAGAAAATGACTGAGCTCTACTTTGTGCCTTAATATCACTGCACATACTGCACATTAATTTGGCTGAACATTAGAACATCTTAAGCAGTATCAGGGAAAGACATTTGGGGCAATGGATTTATGAGTTTGTTCGCTTTCCTGATCTCATCTCCCCTTACTATCTGCTGAGGGGATGCATCCCAGGAAGACTTTTATGCAAAGCTGGACCCTATTTAGGTGTTACTAACATGAAGAAAACCCAGAAAACTCCATGTGACCAGTCCATTGGCCATGCGCAAACCCATAACTGAAAAAATTGTAAACCTATAAATTTTCATTGTTGTTTGTCTGTCCGTCTGTTCCTTCCTTAATCTTGAGAGCGGAATTAGATAGATGAAATTTGAGACCAGATTAACAATATATGTACTTTCAATTCGTATCATAAGTCATGTTATTTCAATTCAAAAATATTTCCCTGAACAGTTAGATACCATAACTGGCACAACCCTATTGCTAACAGGTATGATGTACAGGGGCAAAATACTACTATACTCTATGCAGGTAAGTGCTGTGTGCTACTTCTTGTAGTAACCAGATAATGGTGTGTCTATTTCTCACTATATCATTGTCGAGTAATTCAGTGAATATAATATATATTTTTAAAAATTATATTTTGCTAATTTTTTCCAATAACTACCACTACATGTAAAGCCAGCAATCAAACATAGACAGAAATTAATTGATAATTTGGGATGGGATGTACGACATTATCTAAGTTAGAAGTATATTTAGTTAATTATTTTGCTAATTTTTTTCCAATAACTAGCACTAAATCTAAAGCCAGCAATCAAACATAGACAGAAATTAATTGATAATATGGGGTGGGATGTACAACATTATCTAAGTTAAAAGTATCTACTATATAAAGCTGAAAAACTGGATTCTTTCTTTCTGTCACTGTGTGCCAAAAATGGCCAGTAAGGAAGACCTAGCTATTATTTAAATTAACAATAAATTTAGTATATTATTATTTCATGAGGTTTTTTGCATTTTTGGCTGCATTTTAGTAGGGTATGCCATGANCCCAGAAAACTCCATGTGACCAGTCCATTGGCCATGCGCAAACCCATAACTGAAAAAATTGTAAACCTATAAATTTTCATTGTTGTTTGTCTGTCTGTCTCTTCCTTCCTTACTCTTGAGAATGGAATTAGATAGATGAAAATTGAGACCAGATATGGAAATCGTAAGAGAAAGAGGACCAGATTAACTATACATGAACTTCAAATTTGTATCATAAGTCATGTTATTTCAATTCAAAAATTTTTCACTGAATAGTTAGATATCATAACTGGCACAACCCTATTGCTAACAGGTATGATGTACAGGGGCAAAACACTACTACACTCTACGCAGGCAAGTGCTGTGTGCTACTTCTTGTAGTAACCAGATAATGGTGTGTCTATTTCTCACTATATCACTGTCGAGTAGTTCAGTGAATATACTGTAATATATTTTTAAAAAAATTATATTTAGTTAATTATTTTGCTAATTTTTTTCCAATAACTAGCACTAAATCTAAAGCCAGCAATCAAACATAGACAGAAATTAATTGATAATATGGGGTGGGATGTACAACATTATCTAAGTTAAAAGTATCTACTATATAAAGCTGAAAAACTGGATTCTTTCTTTCTGTCACTGTGTGCCAAAAATGGCCAGTAAGGAAGACCTAGCTATTATTTAAATTAACAATAAATTTAGTATATTATTATTTCATGAGGTTTTTTGCATTTTTGGCTGCATTTTAGTAGGGTATGCCATGAGAAATTCATTATATTATTATTATTATTATCATTGTGGAATGACATTGCTGCTGCTAGAACACCCACTAGGGGCTCCTGGGCTACTAGAATAGAATGATTAGAAGTACAAAATAATCTTAATCTTTGTTGTTGTTTTTTTGCCTGTGCAATGTTAGGCTCATCTACTGGTTTGAACATAACTGCAGAGTTTTGTAGCAATTGGTTGAACAATTAACAGTGTATAGTGAACAAACAGTCAATCATCATCATTTTTATATATATATAGGTTACATGCTGAATAAAATTTGATAACTTTCTATTCTATTTAATCAATTATTATTGAATTTATTATATATATACACAATTGTTTACAAGATGTTTCTCTCAACCTGCATTTTGTCACTGGTCTAAAGTGGTTGTATATTTTTGTTTATAGCTCTGTACAAATAATAATGTGCATTTACTCATTTCTTATCAAGTTATTAATTAAGTGTATATCTAGTGTTGATGTGATAGGTTTCATTTCCAACTGATATCATGAACTCTAAAGCTGCTGTTTTGGTTCATCTTGACACTTTATATTGCACTGGTGTAAGGATGTTTCAACAGTTGAAACAATTTGTGGCATACATTACAATAAAGAATTTTTTCATGTTTTAAATGTCTAGGATTCTGTACATACTTTTTTAGAAATTCAACATTAGTTTCTGTTGTTTCATCGATATTATTGATTAAACCAAACTTGATATACTAAAATCTTTTTTGCATATGCTTCATAAATAGAAGTTTGGCTACTGTAATAACAAGAAATTATTTCTTTTATATTTAATTAAACGTTATATTTACACAGATTTTGAAAAATTTTTAATTTGACATTATTAAATTAATAAATACAGTAGAGCTTCGATTATCTGAAAGTCAATCATCCGAAACGTCAATCATCTGAAAGAATTCCAGTCGGCAAATTTAAATTTTCACCAGTGCAGTGGCGCTGTAATCTTTGGCCATGTCTTGGGCTACTCAAATATTTTACGTTTTGATACTAAATTAACTTCTGAAGTATAATTTTTTGTTGTTTTTATATTTTTCAATATATTTATTTTGTTCGTAAAAAATAAAAAAATAATTTTTAACGACATAATAGTCTTCATTAGGCTTAACATCGATGAAAATTCAACGCAAAGCGACACGCAACGGAGAAAAATGTCAACATGGGATAAATTAATATATTTTTTCGTACATAATCGGTTATCCGAAACATCGATCTTCCGAACAACTCCNATATACACAATTGTTTACAAGATGTTTCTCTCATCCTGCATTTTGTCACTGGTCTAAAGTGGTTGTATATTTTTGTTTATAGCTCTGTACAAATAATAAGAGCATTTACTCATTTTTTATCAAGTTATTAATTAAGTATATATCTAGTGATGTGATAGGTTTCATTCCCAACTGATATCATAAACTCTACTAAAGCTGCTCTGCTGTTTTGGTTCATCTTGACACTTCATATTGCACTGGTTTAAGGATGTTTCAACAGTTGAAACAATTTGTGGCATACATTACAATAAAGAATTTTTTCATGTTTTAAATGTCTAGGATTCTGTACATACTTTTTTAGAAATTCAACATTAGTTTCTGTTGTTTCATCGATATTATTGATTAAACCAAACTTGATATACTAAAATCTTTTTTGCATATGCTTCATAAATAGAAGTTTGGCTACTGTAATAACAAGAAATTATTTCTTTCATATTTAATTAAACGTTATATTTACACAGATTTTGAAAAATTTTTAATTTGACATTATTAAATTAATAAATATATCATTTACAATAATTTCAATTTAATTAACTCAAGCAGTTTTGAGAATTTAAAAAGTGAGAGATTTTCACAAAAATGCAAAATGTGTTTATTTGTGGGACTTTAAAAGAATGCAAGTTACTTGGAGCTAGATGGTTAAGATTTTTTGGGACCAAAATCCCAGGGAAGGGCTGACACTGCATTTGCCCCTCTCTGGGATTGAGTAAAAAATTCTCCAAATTATAATTGTAAAAGTAATTGAGATAACTCCTTGTAACCAGCATGTTGGCAAGGTACAAATTCATGACCAACTATCAGTGTTCAGTAGTTGTATCTATTCAGCTACTGGTTGGCACTTATTGCCTACTAGCGGCCAAGTGAAAAATCCCAGAAAAGTATATAAAAATTTATTGATTTAATTATTTATCTCCATGCTTTGCTTCCCAGAAAATTTTCTGTGGATCCCCATGACAATATGGGTTATATTTTTAAATTAAATTACACTTTTTATTTAGCATTACTGGTTGACATTCAAAAATCCGGCCATTGATAATCCGATTCCTTCAGATTTCCGGCATGGATTTTGGAGTTCATTTTTAAATTTACCACATTGGCATGCCACTGTTTTCTGGAGGCACCTAACTAAAATTCTGTAGAGCTGTTTTTTTTTTTTATTTAATCAATTGATAAACATTAAAATTTTATTTGATTTTCATTTAGTGTTCAATTTTCTTTCTTTGAAGGATTTTACAGGTAGTCATTTTCTGTTAAATATATACAGCACATATAACCATAAAAAATCCAGCACTCCTCAGGTCCGGAGGTTACCAGATTTTTGAATGTCAATGTCAACCTGTTGAATTTTTGAATGTATTATTTATATAGTACTATGACATTTTAAATATTAAATATGTTTAAACCATAAATTATTTGTTTTACTATTATTTGAATAATAGACCTATACATCAGAATCCTATAGTAATATTAAAACCAATTTTTAATCCAAAAAATAATAATAAAGATTATAGAATATTATATTTTAAAAATTACTTGTGACTTTTCAATACTTATAGATAATATAGATAACGTTGAAGAAAATTCTAATGAAGAAGAGGATGATGATAACACAAATGAAAATGAAGATAAAGTAGATGGAAGTGAAACAGAAAATATGGAATCTGAAACTGTAGAAGATAATAAAGAAAATATAGAATATGATCAAGAATGTCCAGATAAAGAAAATGAAGAGACTGGTAATTTTATAAATTTTCTTTATAATGAATGAGATATAGAATTTAAATTTAATACATTTTTTTTTAAAAAAGAAAAATCATTACCATCAAAAACTGACCCAACAACAGAAACTGCTTTGCCATCTGAAAATAATAACAGTACTTTGTGTGATAATGTTACAACAGTTCCAGAATCAAGAGGTGACTATAATGAAGGAAATCAAAATGTATCTGAACAAGAACAACATGGTGCAGGATTTGCAGATATTGATAAATATAGTAAAGGTTAGGAATATTTTATTTATTGGTAGTTCTCATGAAGTAAATTAATTTGCCAAAATATAATTTAAACTAAATATTAGATTTTTAAACCAATTTAATACACTTTAAGGTGTAAGCTAAAAATATCTACTACCATTTTCTTCATCTATTTACACAAAGATAATTACAGAATAGATTTTGTTAAAATTTCTGGCATGTGTTTTAATTTCCATTGACTAAATTCATAGTCTCTCATTCTTTCTATATTTTAAAATATACAGATATTTGATATTTAAAAAAATCAAATACTGTATCTCTTAATCTAATAAGGAATCATGAATAGAGAGTTTCATGCTAGAATCTCAATTTTTGTTAAAATATTTTAAGCATGTTTTAATTTTGAAGCTATTATTAAATTTCAAAATATGATATTAGAACCAATGATATTTGGAATTTTGTCCACATTTCTTACGTTTAAATCAATATTGGGACTAGAATCTATGATAGTTTTTTTACTTTTATTAAAACTTAAACCAATAATTAGTACTCATTTTTTAAATTAATTTAATGATTAAAATAATAATTGTAAAAAGTTGTCAAAATAATCGTTTTCAGTAGCTCTTTAAAAATACTTCTAGATATAGAGCAAAACAGATAAAACTGTTCCTCCAAATATAATGATAATGTTATATTAGAAGCAGCATATATAAATACAAGAACTGTCAATTAAGCCATAGCAACATTGTAATTCTCAAAAAAATAATAAACTATTTGTAACTGTAGTTATTCTAAAAATTAATAGACATCATTCTTCTATTTCCAAACAATGAAAACAAACTTGACTTTTCTTTACTGTAAGAAAATGCTTACAAAGAAGACTAAGAACAGCACAGGTTTCCCATAGTAAATATGCTAATAGTTGTTTTGAGGAACTGCTGGAGGTATGTAGAAACCAGACACTGCCTTACAGAACTGTTGCAAGATAGGTGGAACAGTGTCAAAATGCCCATGATAACATATCTGATTGACTGTGATCTGGAACAATGGTCACCAACTGGTGGTTTATGGAGAAATTTGGACATTGATCAACTCAAGGTTACACAAAATATAACAAAAGAAATACAAAATGCTAGGTTGCTTTTCCTCACTCATTGGGTTTTTTTATTCAAATTTAAAACCAAACTGAAAATGGCTGTTATCAATAAATCAATAAAAAATTAGCAATAAATACTGCGAGTGTGATTGTTGTCCTTTGTGGGAAAGAGCCAAGAATCCATTATCCATAATCATTATTCTATAGATGTTTATATCATTTAAAAGAATTTATGATAGTAGTCTGCAGGATTCAAAATTGTGAGTTTAGGGGTCTTTGAGGTCAGAAAGATTGGCGACCACTGATTTAGAAGACCAATGGAGTAAAGTCATAAATTGTTCTTTTGGAATTGCTTTTACATACAGAGAGATGAAGCAATCAGAACAATATATCTAGAAAAATAATTTTGCCATTAGGCTAGGGAAATTTCCAAGGTTTGGCAAAAAGTTTAAGTAATACACTACTTGGAAGGAATTCATACATGACTAATTTTTATAATAAAATTCTATTTTCTGAAAAAATTCTGTTACCATGATTTAGTTGACAATCCTTGTATANATGAAATATAACAAAAGAAATACAAAATGCTAGGTTGCTTTTCCTCACTCATTGGGGATTTTTTATTCGAAACTAAAACCAAACTCAAAATGGCTGTTATCAATAAATAATAATTTCAATAAATCAATAAAAAATTAGCAATAAATACTGCGAGTGTGATTGTTGTCCTTTGTGGGAAAGAGCCAAGAATCCATAAACTTATTTCAAACAAGCAGCAGCAAACATTGCTGTAATTTGTTATAATTAAACAAGTGAATTTCATATTAATAAAGTAAAATGGAACTTTTGTAATCATTATTCTATAGATGTTCATATCATTTAAAAGAATTTATGATAGTAGTCTGCAGGATTCAAAATTGTGAGTTTAGGGGTCCTTGAGGTCAGAAAGATTGACGACCACTGGAGACCAATGGAGTAAAGTCATAAATTGTTCTTTTGGAATTGCTTTTACAGACAGAGAGATGAAGCAGTCAGAACAATATGTGTAGAAAAATAATTCTGCCATTAGGCTAGGGTAATTTCCAAGGTTTGGCAAAAAGTTTAAATAATAGACGGAAGGAATTCATACATGACTAATTTGTATAATAAAATTCTATTTTCTGAAAAAATTCTGTTACCATGATTTAGTTGACAATCCTTGTATATATAAAAAAATATATTTTTGTATTGAAGAGGGTGATATTTTTTGCACTTTGTATTCCTTCTTTATATATCATAAATTTTTTGTCTTAAGGGTTTATTTATTTATTCTGATTTTTATTAGCTTTAGGTCATGAAACCAAAAACATTACATCAGATAGCAATATGGAAAAAGATATTCAATCGTCTTCAAAAAGAAAGAAAAAACCAAGTCAAAATCCACGTACTTTGGGTCAACTAAAAGAAAATCTTTTAGAAGTTGAAACAATAGAATGTTCTCAATCACAAGAAGCTAAAGATTCAGAAGAATGTTATAAGTCAGATCTGTATGAGCATATTCAAGATCCCAATTCTGGCTATAATATTGATGTTATTGATACTGCTTCAGAACAACAAATTAATAAAGAAAATCTAATTAATAATGATGACATAAACACATCAGAAGAAATAGAAACTAATTTAGAAGAGAATGAAAATGAAACTAAAATTGATGCAGAAGAAAATATATATGGAAAAAATATTTCTTCTACTTCTGAAAAACAAAACATTATGAGTCAAAAAAGTGATAATGATATGGAAGTGGATGAATTACCTGTAGAGAAATCAACAGACATTATTGCAACTAGTAGTGTAGCAAGAGGTCCAAATTCATCTCTTCACACACAGTACGATTTATGGATTTCTTTATCTGAAAAAAGAAAATTAGAAGAATTAAGATTACAGTTAGAACATAAAATAGGTTCTTGGATTGAAGTACCCGATAGTGAAATTCAGAAAAATAATTTATCAAAAGAACTATGGCAGCAAAATATAAAAGTTATTTCACCTTTTGTGCAAGAAATTTGTGAACAATTAAGACTTGTTCTAGAACCAACTAAAGTTTCAAAGTTAAAGGGTGATTATAGAACTGGTAAAAGATTAAATATGAGAAAGGTAACATATTATTAATATTTAACAATTAATAGGTTTATAGTTTAATGCAATTATAATTGTATCCTATGCTTAAACATTAGGTTTTAAGACACTTTTGTTTTAAAATATGAAAAATTATTATAAAAATGTTATTTTAGAAATTAATTTTAAGTTTTACAGAATATTAAAAGTCTATTTTTTATTATATAAACTTTATTTAATGGTGTTTATATCTAGTTTCTGTTTTTAGTAGAATGATATGATGTTAATAAAAACATCCAATTAGCTATTAAGTTAGGATTAGTAACTAGTTACATGTTAATGACTTTTTTTAATATAACTTACATCATGAATTAAAGTAAATGAAAAATAAATAATACTAGTTCTTAATTATGTATTTAGTTTAAAGTGGTTTTCTCAATAAAACTTTTACAAATCCTTTTTTAAAAATTCACTCAAAGAAAAGCAATTTGAACTAGATTTGTGACCAGTTTCATCAACCTGCATTATACTTGTTTAACACTTTTGTTAGTGCTAATAAACATTAAACTTTTTGGATCTTTAAAATAAGGATTTTAGAATGTAAAAGTTTCTGACAGATTATAATAAGTTTAATGTAGAGCTGTTGTATATTAAGTAGACTGGAAAAATAAGGATCATATAAAAACTATTAGGCATTCAGACAAGGTGGCTTTAAATTTTTGGATGATGATTGCTTTATCCAAAAATTTAATATTCTGTATATATATTTGATTGCAATACTCATTTCATATATTAATTGATTCATTTAATTGATTCAAATCAAAATATAATTATATTTTGAGTTAAATCAATTAAAGCATTCTTCTCTACAATTTAAAATTAAGAACTTTAAATTATACATTTCAGTTGTCACACTGCACATGTTAAACTACTCACACAAAATATTTGAAGTTAAAGAAAGCTGTGAAACTTTTTAAGAAGCAGCTCATTAAATTGAGTTAAAGAATGTTTATGAAATGGAATATACTAATTAAAGATTAATTCTAACAAGTTATTCAAAAATTAAACGCATTAAATGCTATTTTTATGAAGGTTGATGAAACCAACCTTTAGTTTATGTGGAATAATGATCTAATTAGATGAAATTATCATATAATTCATTAGTCAATGATTTCGTAACTCTGATTTTTTTTCAAGCTCTGCAGATTAAATGATTGATGACTTAGGAAAAGTATAACTATAGCTTAGAATTTCATAACATGATATATATTATATCATATTACAGATATCCCTTGATTAATGTGTGAAATTAATTGTGGCAATCCTTTTAGTTAATGCAGCTTTACCAGCTGTCTTTACTTAACATAGATACCATATTTGATTAATGCGATTTTGATATACATGGTAGCATTTAGGAATTAACCATATTAACCAAGGGATACTGGTACTATTTTATTTTATTTTAACATTTTGCACATATACAGTCGAATTTTGTAATTGTTTATTTATATTTACTTTATAACGTTTTTGTTATAAATATTTTATTGCAGATAATACCATATATTGCAAGTCAATTTAGGAAAGATAAAATATGGTTAAGACGAACTAAGCCTAGCATAAGGGAATATCAGATAATGCTCACAGTAGATGATTCTTCAAGTATGGATGATAATAAATCAAGACAACTAGCTATGGAATCTGTTACTTTATTAGGAAAATCACTCTCTTTACTTGAAGTTGGTCAGTTATCTGTAGTAAAGTTTGGTGAAGATGTTCAACTCCTACATCCATTTGGAGAACCTTTTACAGATCAGGCAGGAATTAAAGTATTTCAGAGGTTTACTTTTGAACAGAAAAAAACAAGAATAGCAGAACTTTTGAATTATGCAACTACTTTGATGATAGATTCACGACATGGACCTGTCTCCAGATTAATGTCAAAAGAAATTGCTTAGCTTCTTATAATTCTTTCTGATGGTCGGGGTATTTTTAGTGAGGGAGAAGGATGTGTCAGGCAAGCTGTGCGTTTTGCAAGAAACAACAATATATTTTTAGTATTTATTATATTAGATAATCCAGCAAATAAAGTAAGATATAGTAATTATTATGTTTTTAATAATCTTTTCTTAGAAGAAAATTAATTGAATATAATAATTTTTAATTTCAGAATTCTATTCTTGACATTAAAGTTCCTATTTTTAAAGCAGAAAAGGTAATCATCATCTTCATTAAATATCTTATATTAATATTTTGAATTAATTTTCTAAATAATCTTATCATTCTCATTTCAGATTGAAATACTCTCATACATGGAAATGTTTCCTTTTCCATTTTATATAATTTTAAAAGAAATCAATTCAATGCCAGTGGTTTTAGGTGAAGCTCTACGTCAATGGTTTGAAATGATAACTTACACAGAACATTGAGTAACTTTTTAACAGGACTTTATTGCTAGTTTATATTTATGAATATGTACTGAAAATTAAATAATGTAAACATTCCATTTGAATGTGTAAATAAAATAAATTATGTAATTTTTAATGTACATAATTCTGAATTAAATGTTTCTAATACTAATTATTTTTTGTGAATTTTTCTGAAATAAATACAGTCTATATGATATTTTCTAGAAATGGTAGATATTATATTAACAAGATAGTTGATTCATATCGATTTTATGGTGAAAACAAGTCTTCAAAGTTGATCAATCATTAAATTCACACCATTGCTATATGACTACTGCTCTAGAAAAGATGACAGCTTAATGCCACTCCATCACTAAAAAACAATATAATAATATGTAGCAAACATTAATTTAAACAAGTAATTGTTTATCATGACGGGGGCGTGTTCAACCGTCGAGGCTGCTGGTGTCTGTTCCTTTGCATCTGGCTACTCATACTAAGAATAAGAATTAATTGTTTTTTGATTATTTACTACTACAAGAAGCCTAATTATGTCATTAATTAATACAATTTATATCAGTAATAACAATAATAATCATGCAACATTCTCCAACCAAGCGGGGAAGATCTCCATTGAATCGTGCCAACCGGATACTAAGAAGAATCAATCATCTTCATCAAATCCTAGGATGATAATGGACTTTAACTTCACTTCCGAAAAAAATCTCCTTGAAGAATCCATTAGCAATAAGAATTACAATTTAAATTCATTGCAGATTAGGTCAAATGACACCCCAGGTGAGTCAACCATTTCTGACCAAATCTCGATTAATATAATGAATAAACTCCCAGACACTTATACTTCAGTGCTTTGGAATAAAATATCAGACTTGATTAACACCACTAATGACAAACTTTTTAATCAAATGGTTGTTATTAAACAAGAACTTGATATTATTCACAAAAATATTTGAGAAACAAAGGAAAATCAGAAAAAAATGGAAGAGCAGATTGATAGTTTAAAACATCAAGTAGAGACATTACAAACGGACAAAGATTCCATCCAATTTAAAATGGACATGCTAATAAACGAACATTGCTATAACAATATAATAATGTACAATTACCCAAACTACAAAACTACTTCAAGAGCAGAAATACTAAAACTTATTACTAATGTACTGTACAGTGTGTGATCAGTTAACGAACATAATCCATTCCAAGACTTTGTTTGCTATCCGAATTGTTCGTTAACCGATTATCAATTTACTATAGGTTTGTATGGGAATTTGATTAATTCGTTCTGGAGACCCACAAAAATAAAAAATATATACTTTCTTACTACATTTATTTATATGTAATAATAAAAATACATATATACACAGACTTGCATTTTTATTACTCATGTTTTTTTGTTTGTGGGGTTAAAGTAAATGTTGATTGCTTTTCTCTCTTCAGGATTTTCAGAATTAATAGCAATGTAATTGTGGAGATCCCCAAGCCTAAACAAACAAAACGGCATACAAACCTCAACCTGGTTTGTATGCCGTTCTAAGACAGTCGATCTGACATCCCCCACTTCTTCAAAAGATCTTTAATTATTAGCAGATATCGGCATTAATCCTCTTTTTCATAATAAAACATATCTCGCCGAGTTTCTTGATGTTCTTCATTCAAGAGTTCTTAGCGTTCTTCTGTCGTCAGATCCGTTTCAGGTTCCATTATGAGCTCTTCAATGTTCTTTATTTCTCAAATGTAATTTTTGTTACTCCTTTAGCTGCTTGAGTTTTCTTGATTATACTGTATCTTTCTTAGATAAGAGTGAACTGTGCCCTACTGTAGATTTGTTCAAGCCATACTGCCCAGCAACATCAGACATCTTCTGCCCACTCTCTACCTTTGCTATTATACTCTCACCTTTTGAAAATAAAAACCAATGCAAAACTTAATGCGTGCCTGCCCGACAGTCTCACGAATACTATAAAAGAATCATTTGTCAGAAAAATAAAAGGCTGGAATTACAAGGTAGTATTTCAAAGTTCGAGGAATACTATCTGATCAGTATATATATCAAGTTGAGTGTTGACGTTGACGTCTCCTGCGCTCCAAAAAGTTATCTGAAGACATAGGAAAATCAATTGGTATTTGCTATTTCCTTTGCTTCTTTTCATGTTTGTTCAGTGAAGTGTTCGTTATCTAATCTGTTTGTTAACTGATCACCCACTGTATTAAATATAAATAATATAACTCAAGACAATATACTAGAGATAGTTCAACTATCGAAAATGCCAAATTTAACAATAATAATCACATTTCATAATAAACCAGAAATCTTATTTTTTCTGTCCTCATACAAAAAAAACAACAAAATCTACTAGAGCAAAACATACAAATTCTCCAGATTTGACTAACAACTTAAGAAATAGAAGGAATCATTTATTACCAAATTTTTATGAATTACATAAACAAAATCCTCAGGTTAAATTGTGAAATGACATCTTAATAATTGATTGTGAAAAGCTAACTCATAGTTTAAGTATGGGGAAACTGGTGCATGTAGATACTTTTCTTCCATCATCAAGAATAGCAAATTTAACTAAATGACATTAACAAGCAAGATAAAACTTGATTCCGCAAACTCCACTCTAATAATCAATGCCTCTCAATTATAANTTCCTTTGCATCTGGCTACTCATACTAAGAATAAGAATTAATTATTTTTTGATTATTTACTGCTACAAGAAGCCTAATTATGTCATTAATTAATACAATTTATATCAGTAATAACAATAATAATAATCATGCAACGTTCTCCAACCAAGCGGGGAAGATCTCCATTGAATCGTGCCAAACCGGATACTAAGAAGAATCAATCATCATCATCAAATCCTAGGATGATAATGGACTTTAACTTCACTTCCAAAAAAATCTCCTTGAAGAATCCATTAACAATAAGAATTACAATTTAAATTCATTGCAGATTAGGTCAAACGACACCCCTGGTGAGTTTGACCTAATCTGACCAAATCTCGATTTGGTCAGATTAAAATCTCGATGACTTTCTGACCAAATCTCGATTAATATAATGGATAAACTCCCAGACACTTATACTTCAGTGCTTTGGAATAAAATATCGGACTTGATTAACACCACTTATGACAAACTTTTTAATCAAATGGTTGTTATTAAACAAGAACTTGATATTATTCAGGAAAATATTCGAGAAACAAAGGAAAAATCAGAAAAAAATGGAAGAGCAGATTGATAGTTTGAAACATCAAGTAGAGAAATTACAAACGGACAAAGATTCCGTCCAATTTAAAATGGACATGCTAATAAACGAACATTGCTATAACAATATAATAATGTACAATTACCCAAAACTACAAAACCACTTCAAGAGCAGAAATACTAAAACTTATTACTAATGTACTGTACAGTGGGTGATCAGTTAACGAACATAATCCGTTTCAAGACTCTGTTCGCTATCTGAATTGTTCGTTAATCGATTATCAATTTACCATAGGTTTGTATGGGAATTTGATTAATTCGTTCTGGAGACCCACAAAAATAAACAAATATATACTTTCTTACTACGTTTATTTATATGTAATAATAAAAATACATATATACACAGACTTGCATTTTTATTACTCATGTTTTTTTGTTTGTGGGGTTAAAGAATCTGTCTAAATGTTGATTGCTTTTCTCTCTTCAGGATTTTCAGAATTAATAGCATTGTAATTGTAGAGATCCCCAAGCCTATTAACCTCAACCTATGTATGCCGTTCTAAGACCGTTGATCTGACATCCCCCACTTATTCAAAAGATCTTTAATTAATAGCAGATATCGGCATTAATTCTCTTTTTCATAATAAAACATATCTCACTGAGTTTCTTGATGTTCTTCATTCAAGAGTTCTTGGCATTCTTCTGTCATCAGATCCATTTCAGATGTCAGGCATTCTGCTATGAGCTCTTCAATGTAATTTTTGTTACTCCTTTAGCTGCTTGAGTCTTCTTGATTATACTGTATCTTTCTTAGATAAGATTGAACTGTGCCCTACTGTAGATTTGTTCAAGCCATACTGCCCAGCAACATCAGACATCTTCTGCCCACTCTCTACCTTTGCTATTATACTCTCACCTTTCGAAAATAAAAACCAATGCAAAACTTAACGAGTGCCTGGCTGACAGTCTCACGAATACTATAAAAGAATCATTTGTCAGAAAAATAAAAGGCTGGAATTACAAGGTAGTATTTCAAAGTTCGAGGAATACTATCTGATCAGTATATATATCAAGTTGAGAGTCGATGTTGACATCTCCCGCGCTCCAAAAACTTATCTGAAGACAAAGGAAAATCAATCGGTATTTGCTATTTCCGTTGCTTCTTTTCATGTTTGTTCAGTGAAGTGTTCGTTATCTAATCTGTTCGTTAACTGATCACCCACTGTATTAAATATAAATAATATAACTCAAGACAAGATATACTAGATATAGTTCAACTATAATACCCAATATACTAGAGATAGTTCAACTATTGAAAATGCCAAATTTAACAATAAGAATCACATTTCATAAAAAACCAGAAATCTTATTTTTTTCTGCCCTCATACGAAAAAAACAACAAAATCTACTAGAGGAATGGCAAAACATACAAATTCTCCGGATTTGACTAACAACTTAAGAAATAGAAGACAACATTTATTACCAAATTTTTATGAATTACATAAACAAAATCCTCAGGTTAAATTGTGAAATGACATCTTAATAATTGATTGTGAAAAGCTAACTTATAGTTTAAGCATGGGGAAACTGGTGCATGTAGATAGAAGATTTTTGTTACTCCTTTTCTTCCATCATCAAGAATAGCAAATTTAACTAAATGACATATTAACAAGCAAGATAAAACTTGATTCCGCAAACTCTACTCTAATAATCAATGCCTCTCAATTATAAATTGGAACAGTCAAGGACTTAAATACAAAATACCTCAAATAGATGCCTTTATTTCTAAACATGATCCATATATTATTGCCATCACTGAAACCTGGATAGCTTCTGAAATAGTCTATAATTCTACCTTCTTTGAAAAATTTACAATAGAGTCAGCTTTGGAAAAAAACCAATAGGTCCAGGCCACCCAAGTGAAGGCCTTTGCATATTAATGAAAAAAGGTCTTTGTA